AAAGTGACGATCGCTTGGGCAACATAGATTGGCACGTACTTCACTGGGTCTCACCAGTAGTCGTGAAAGTAGTCGAACAGTGAATCGTCGTTTCAAAGAAACAAAATAAAATTGGGTGTGGTTTTGGACTAATTTTACTATCTTCAAGTCTCGATCAACAATTTCTGACGTCGGGAAATCGCGTTTGTGCAAGACTATGCATACATTCACGAGGTGTCGGGAATTTTCTTACCGAAGAAGTTTCGTCCGAGGGGAATTTTTCTTTCCAGGGAATTTTCGTAGCACTATGGATATATATAGATAGGGTGTCAACAACCAATTATAACACCCTCCGCTGTGTTAATAATAAAAATTTGATGTGTTAGAAGTTTAAACAATTATTTGACTGGTTTTTACCCTAGCACTGGTACGCGTCTGTTGTTAGCCGACAGGCGTGTCGCCTCACAGGTGTCACAATTGTTTTTTCCAGCCACAGAAGTGCTAATTACCTAACCTGGCACAGGTGTGATTATGAGTTTAGATGACATCTCTACACTGTGAACTGTGTTTTCAAATCAAGATTGGTGATCTTATTGTTATTGTTACGATCGCAAAATTAATAACTAAACAACATCGTCTGCTGGAAGATCTAAAAACCAAATACACCTTATACAAACAACATACACACATAACCTATTCTATAAATTCTAATAATTCTATTCTATACTATATAATAGTAGTATGAAAATTCTCGGGGTGAAAATTCCCGTGACCCATTCACGACTAGGCCTTCTCCGAGTATTAGGCGTTCACGATTACGAAGGAATAATATTCCTATGACCGCCCAAGTCATAGGCTAGCCTATCAATTTAAAATGTTTAGTTGTAGAATTAATAACAAAATATCAACCTAACAAATATACTTTTATTTAATCAACAATCAGTTTTATTTATCGACGTTATGCATCGACACCCCATCCGTGTTAGTGTTAGGACAACCATACACACCGCTTCCCTCCTCGATAGGAAGCCATTTTAGCGGATTTAAGCGCTAATTCACCGACCCCTCGTTCACTACCTTAGATATTGCGAAGATGTGAAGTACTTTCACGTAAATAAACAAAGAAATTACCACGGAAAATCCGAAAATAGATCACAATCACATGTAGCACAGTAAAGACAATATGGCTGCATCAACAAAAGCGTTGAACTTATGACGTCACAGGTTTGGGTGCCCGAAAACGAGGTCAACGCCTCTCAGCCAAAGGTGTGTTTTTCGGAAAAGTCGCAATTTCTCAGTAACGGAACATTCCACGGCATTCGCGTTTTCGGCATAGTGTATTTTATGTGCAGAACTATTTTTCAAGGTCAACATAGCTGACCTCTCAGAGTACACTTTAAGTATAAAAAACAAATGTAAAATGGTACGAACTATTAATCCTAACATAATTGGCACATGCTGTTCTTGCAATACGCATTTTTCTTAATTTTATAATGAGACGTATTCAAAAATATTGTTATGATTTACTGATTTTAAAAAAAAATCAAAGGATTGCGACAGGGAAATGATAAAATTAAAAGTCAGTGCACTATTTAAGTGTTGAAAGGGCTTGTTAACGTTGTCATAGACAAGGTAGTTTCCTTTTTATCTTACCTTCCAATAGGCTACAGATCGTAAGATGCAATTTCATTCATTATTTTTGTAGTAAAAGGTGTTATTCACTTTGTTAAGGACAAAAAATGTCTTGTGCGACCATAACGATATACACTTCCACCAACAACTGAACATTACCATCTAAAGATACGTTCATATCAATAGGTTTTCCTTGATAAAAATTAGGGATGGCTTTCGCAATACCCTCATTAATACTATGACTATCGAACTCATCACATAACGTTATAGGGTTTTGGAATCATGATAGGAATAACTGCAACTCCCAAGTGTATAATGACGATCTTCAGTAGTAAAATTCGAACATTCAGTGTTATAATCGTCAGTTTAAATAACGTTTCAGACCAAAGTTCCTCGTGCATACTTCGTGTGCCTGAATTCAACGACTGTCAAAAAACCTTTTAACAGCGAGTGCGTAGTAACAGACGTATTATGTAAACACACTACCTGGGTCTATACCTGACACGAGATTATCAAACATGTTTGGCTGGTACATAACAACAGCTAACCACAGTAAACCATGTTGCGGGCATCGTATCGTGTTAATTTGTTATACGTGCAGAAGCATGTTACAGTTCTTATACATATAACCGCTACTAAGATAGCATAAGGAGATGCATTTGTGTTAGCATGGTAACCCAGCTCAGAGACTGCAGCTTGTTATTTGTTGTACATGTCTTATAAACAAAAAACAACAGGGAAAAGAAATGTTGTCAAATGGTCATTTATTAAATGACAGGAACATTTCAAATACAACCATAATATCAATCACAGTTGTTATATAATATATAGATCTGAATGACATTAACTTCAGTCTATATGTACAACAAAAAGATGGGGTACAAATTATCGGCACCGATGAGGGGCGCAAGATACATATGTATGGAGGGATACATGATATGTAAAAAAAATGCACCTCATCACCCCATCCATTTGTAGCTTATACACACTGAATATCCGTATATGTGTTATAACTGACTAAAGTTAAAATCGACTTAAATATACATTAAAAACAAATAACTAGAATATTTCTATTCCTCTTTATGTTAGTGATCTGATGCTTAATCTTGGTCTACAACAATTGTTATAGTGTTTGTTCTCCAAACAAAGATTCCTTAAAGATTTGAACTCGGTTTATTCTGTATACTATTATGCAGTAATTATTGCTACTATACCACGGCAGTAAAGCAGTACAGAAGTGAAAACGTGTTAGTCTTTCTCAGCAATAGTCTCTCATCAACGTGTAAAAGACAGCATTTTAACAAAATACTTATTTAAATAAATTTTACTAAAAAAGCAACACTGAGTGAGAGTGAGACATTCCGACCCAATGATCAGATAAAAATATCTTGATCGACAAAATATAAATGGTTATTCTTTAGCCATAGAATTCACTTCTTTGAATACAGATTGTCCCCAATAATGTGCATGATGGAATATGAAATTGAAATGCTGATATAACTGAACATTGTGATTATATAACTTACCATTGCATGTGCAATTACTTCTGTAGCACACAACAAAACACACAAGACTGTCGAAAACATCTTCGTGAAGAGTTACAAACATAACTCTATATAACATTCAGCAGTAAACACGACCAGGAAGAAAACGTTTATCGTTAGCAAGGGGCAGCTCGGTGCTACAACGTAAATAAATTTCGCTGTTATCTGTGATTGACTGCAATCGATAGCAAAATATTTTCCGAAGATCACGACACAATACGTGTACGTTAGAACCCGTCTTGTTATCATTTAGTGAGAAAAAGGCAGTTTGCTTATGATAGTTTGCCCCATTTCTTAAATCGAGTCTTAATTGATAAAATATCGATTGTGATAATAATAGATGCCCGTAATACCAACAGACATATATGAATATCAATGTAGATGCATGAAATAAGATGAACGAGGAATTGTTTGGTTCAAGTTGAACGTGTCGTCTTCCAGTAATGCCTTTCTTCACACATTACTCTCTACAAGTATCTCTGTAACCAGATTGAAGGTTTAGAGAAGTAACAGAAAGCATTAAACAATACTTTTTGGTCCCTAGAGAATACAGCTTGTATAGTACGGTAACAGAGGAAGCACAGATGAAATGTGACACTGTTCAAATGACATTAAATTGGAATAGTAATAGTGTTTTTAATTACTATTATTTCTGAGGAAACGTCTGTGAGACCGAAGTAATTTGCTACCCACATTAAATCACAGATTTTTTCTTCTCCCATGGTGTCCCTTGAGACACCTGTCCTCAAATTGCATATGTACAGTGACGTTTCACCTTAGACACCTGTCCTAAATTACCCTGGGTGTTGACGTCCAACTAGACATCCATCCGGAAATGACCCTAGGTATTGATGGCTTACTAGATAATCGTCTTCATTTAACACTGGATGTTGATGTCGTCCTAAACACCCGTCCACATATAGCCTTGGTGTTGATGTCTCCTAGACACATGTCTTCAAATGCCCCTGTTTGTTGGTCTCGCCGCAGACACCCGTCCTCAGATGACCCTGGGTGTTGGTGTCGCCATAGACACCCGTCCTCAGATGACACTGGGTGTTGGTGTCGCCATAGACACCCGTCCTTACATGACCTTGGGTGTTGGTGTCGCCATAGACACCCGTCCTTACATGACCTTGGGTGTTGGTGTCGCCATAGACACCCGTCCTCAGATGACCCTGGTTGTTGGTGTCGCCATAGACACCCGTCCTCAGATGACCCTGGTTGTTGGTGTCGCCATAGACACCCGTCCTTACATGACCTTGGGTGTTGGTGTCGCCATAGACACCCGTCCTTACATGACCTTGGGTGTTGGTGACGCCATAGACACCCGTCCTCAGATGACCCTGGTTGTTGGTGTCGCCATAGACACCCGTCCTTACATGACCTTGGGTGTTGGTGTCGCCATAGACACCCGTCCTTACATGACCTTGGGTGTTGGTGTCGCCATAGACACCCGTCCTCAGATGACCCTGGTTGTTGGTGTCGCCATAGACACCGGTCCTCAGATGACCCTGGTTGTTGGTGTCGCCATAGACACCCGTCCTTAGATGACCCTGGTTGTTGGTGCTTCCCTAAACAATCGTCCTATTACGACTCCGATCACATTGAAAACGTAAAAATCTTAAATAAACAAAATGAAGATAACAGCGATCTCAATGCTGCATAGCTCTGTTACCAGAGTGTCTTTATTGACCTGTACTTCCTGGTGTTATTTTAACGTTTTACTTGAATGCTAGACTCACAACTGCATATGTTTGTGTTGGTGAGCGTGCTCAACTCACATCATAATAATGTTTTACCCAAAATATTTCTGTGTACTGTTGTGGACTGTACAAGTACTAGCGAATGTGCAGGTAAGGTACATTATTCCGTGATTTCAATTTTGTTGAATTAATGTTGAATAAATCAAACGATTTATGATATGATCAATATAAATTGGCACATAAGTTTGTCATTGCAGCTGTTAAACATATTTTTTTGGAAGAAAAAAAAATAAAACACAATCAAAAACAAGAAAGAAACAATATGAATATATATAATGTATATAACATAATTGAGAAAACTATTCCAACTTATATTTATCACTGTTATTGGCCCGAGTGCAAGAGCGCGAGGGGACTTGCTGTCTGGGACCAGTATACGTCGGAGGAAACCGGTCAGATGACCCAATCCGTTCCGGTAATCAAACCCCGAAATCTTAGCTGAAAGGTGTGTCGCTTCCACTATGCCAGCTGACCATCTTTTTTCTCTTTATGTCGTCCCTGAGTGGAGTCTGGATTGACTTATAACTGTTATTATTGTGTGACGTCATTTAACGTCCTATAACTTATACATATAATTATTCTATATGTATCTCCGAGGTTGTGTGACGTTATTTAACTTCCTATAACTTCTACATGTAATTATTCTATATGTATCTCCGAGGTTGTGTGACGTTATTTAACTTCCTATAACTTCTACATATAATTATTCTATATGTATCTCCGAGGTTGTGTGACGTTATTTAACTTCCTATATTTTCTACATATAATTATTCTATATGTATCTCCGAGGTTGTGTGACGTTATTTAACTTCCTATAACTTCTACATGTAATTATTCTATATGTATCTCCGAGGTTGTGTGACGTTATTTAACTTCCTATAACTTCTACATGTAATTATTCTATATGTATCTCCGAGGTTGTGTGACGTTATTTAACTTCCTATAACTCCTACATGTAATTATTCTATATGTATCTCCGAGGTTGTGTGACGTTATTTAACTTCCTATAACTTCTACATATAATTATTCTATATGTATCTCCGAGGTTGTGTGACGTTATTTAACTTCCTATAACTTCTACATATAATTATTCTATATGTATCTCCGAGGTTGTGTGACGTTATTTAACTTCCTATAACTTCTACATATAATTATTCTATATGTATCTCCGAGGTTGTGTGACGTTATTTAACTTCCTATAACTTCTACATGTAATTATTCTATTTGCATGTCCTATTCCTATTTCCAATAATTGTGTGAAACAAACTATTTAACGTTCGTTTCTATAACTTCCTGAAAGATACGAAAAACAAGAGAGGATTATACATTTTAAACTACTAATTTATATATTAATGCTGGTGTGTTTCCTTTGTCGGGTGGGTCTTATGCATCATCGTCTGGTATTATCATAGCTCAAGGATGTAGATAACGTTATATCCTTTTATTTTCATATAAACTATATACACATGGAGTGTTCTTAAATTAAACCTGTAACTCAATGCTCGATCGAGTTACATTTTCTACCGATATCAGTATTCCGCAACCACTGTTTGAAAGTTTAATCAGTCACTAGCAAACCCATATATGCACATTTAGTGATTATACACGAAAATATTTATGAATTTATCTTATGTATGTGCAACCGCAGCGCGGTTTATTTTAGTCACCGATTTGAAATGATGTAGCCAAGCACAGATATTACACTCCAGTCAATATGATTATGTGCCGAATAAAAGTTTGAATCCCAAACAAAAAACATTTCACACCTCCTCATTTTATACTCACGAGTTCCGTCACCATCCTGATATTTTTTTATCAGATTCGTTATTATGAAGTTGTCCTATTTCCGACCTACAATGTTTTAGATTATCTACATCACTTTCAAGACATGTTTCGTATTTGGGATATTCATTAATTCATAGATGAAAAACTATTGTTGTATTGAAACTATATAAATATTTCGGCGACAGATACTGAATATGTAACCATTTAAATTTCTTGTTATTTCTACGTTTGTTCAGAATGACAATTTTGTTTATTGATTTTTTATATATAAATCGAAGTTTTATCAACACATTTGACGTGAAGAGAAAAACATCAGTACAATGTAATAAATACGCACTATGAAAAACATTCGACGAAAATAGAAACAAACAACGAAAATAGTAACAAACGTCGAAAATAGTAACAAACGTCGAAAATAGTAACAAACGTCGAAAATAGAAACAAACGACGAAAATAGTAACAAACGACGAAAATAGTAACAAACGACGAAAATAGTAACAAACGACGAAAATAGTAACAAACGACGAAAATAGAAACAAATGACGAAAATAGAAACAAACGACTAAAATAGTAACAAACGACTAAAGTACTAATATACATTTATGAATAGAATGGAACAGATGATCATCTTAAACTGTTAATTTACAGTTGAGAACCTCGAGAATCAACCAGCCAATACCATGGAACGTCGGTTCACACAGCAGACCAATCAGCTATAAGATAAATTCAAATATTGGTAAGTGTCAGTTGGTCGATAGTTGAATACCAGAGTATAATCGCTAGTCAATTTGGTGACAAATTAAATTATCTTCAATAACGTAAAGTATGTAGACATGTAAATAATCAGTTTGCATTTACAGGCAGTGATACATTAATATATGAATATATACACTTCGTCGTAAATTAAGGATGATCAATTTCAGTGTGAATATTTCTTGTTTCAACTGTCTTAAAAATATATTTAAGTGGGTACCTTTGCCACCTAAAGCAGTGTTTGTTTGTGTATTATTAGTAAAACATAAACGTGCTCATTCTGTATTTAAAGTTGATATATTTTTTTACAATAGTTGACATTTGTGTGGCTTGGTGAAAAAAACATTCTTACCCAATCTAAGGTACGGTGGTCCCTAACTTATGGTCTTTATATGAGTATGTATACTGTATAAAATGACAATTTGATGAAAGGCACTTGAATTTTCAACCAATACAATTCACGTCAAAATCAATTTGTCTTCAATACACGTATTTCTGAGGTTGATGTTGGAGGAACGTTGATAGAGTTATCATGCCTTGCTATTAATCGCCTGTGAACAACACGGTCAACTTTCTGGAGAATAAAGTTCATGATTTTATTATCGGTGTTTGTTTATTGCTTATTTGTGGATCATAAATCCAGGATTTATCGGGAACACTATCATTTGTGGATCACAATATTCCAGGATTTATCGGGAACACTATCATTTGTGGATCACAATATTCCAGGATTTATCGGGAACACTATCATTTGTGGATCACAATATTCCAGGATTTATCGGTAATACTATCATTTGTGGATCACAATATTCCAGGATTTATCGGGAACACTATCATTTGTGGATCACAATATTCCAGGAATTATCGGGAACACTATCATTTGTGGATCATATATCCCAGGATTTATCGGGAACACTATCATTTGTGGATCACAATATTCCAGGATTTATCGGTAATACTATCATTTGTGGATCACAATATTCCAGGATTTATCGGGAACACTATCATTTGTGGATCACAATATTCCAGGAATTATCGGGAACACTATCATTTGTGGATCATATATCCCAGGATTTATCGGGAACACTATCATTTGTGGATGACAATATCCAAGGATTTATCGGGAACACTATCATTTGTGGATCATATATCCCAGGATTTATCGGGAACACTATCATTTGTGGATCACAATATTCCAGGATTTATCGGTAATACTATCATTTGTGGATCACAATATTCCAGGATTTATCGGGAACACTATCATTTGTGGATCACAATATTCCAGGAATTATCGGGAACACTATCATTTGTGGATCATATATCCCAGGATTTATCGGGAACACTATCATTTGTGGATCACAATATTCCAGGATTTATCGGGAACACTATCATTTGTGGATCACAATATTCCAGGATTTATCGGGAACAATATCATTTGTGGATCACAATATTCCAGAATTTATCGGGAACACTATCATTTGTGGATCACAATATTCCAGAATTTATCGGGAACACTATCATTTGTGGATCATATATTCCAGGATTCATCTGGAACACTATCATTTGTGGATCACAATATTCCAGGATTTATCGGGGACACTATCATTTGTGGATCACAATATTCCAGGATTTATCGGGAACACTATCATTTGTGGATCACAATATTCCAGGATTCATCTGGAACACTATCATTTGTGGATCATATATTCCAGGATTTATCTAGAATACTATCATTTGTGGATCACAATATCCCAGGATTTATCGGGAACACTATCATTTGTGGATCACAATATTCCAGGATTTATCTGGAATACTATCATTTGTGGCATATATACGTAGCTGACGGAGAAACATACAACAAAGAGTTTCGAGGGATTTGTGAATAAGAGCACTCATTGATAAACCGTGTAACAGTTGTATCTTTAAATGCTAGATATCTAAAACATTTCAGAATTTTTTCCACGATTTTAAAACGCACGTGAGATTTTTTTTTAAATTTCTATGAATGACTGAATGAACGATCACAGCACATGCTATGTACAAATATACATTACTCTGTCAGTATTCTAAAACATTGTTCATTTACACTCACTACTTTCACTAAAATAAGTAAACTTTGACCATACACAGAACAGCCTCAACGTGACCTCCTGGAGCAGTCAATGAGAGAGATAGAACAGGCGGTCAATGTGGAGGGACACAACACCTGTATCTCATTCAGGAAAAGGAGCGGGGAAGGCCACTACATGTACATTAGGGATACTGACTCGGGGTTTGTTTAACTTATGAAATAAAATACATTCTGAATATGTCTTATTGAATAAGACAAACAAGAATATAGTTACGTTTGAAATCTGTCCTACACTGTGAGAATATCTACCTGATAAAAGTAACAAACAGCTGATATACATGGACCAAATATTCAAACATTTTCTCTCAAATCTAGACATGTTGGATTGAAAACAGCATTCCACGCGGGGGAAATCTGTTTTCACGGGAGGCAAGCCTTATAACATAGTTTGTTTTTGCTTTGCGGTAGCTGCTAAACGAAAAAGAAATCTGATGGTAGACACAGGGTATTTCCATGTCTATTTGGAAAAAAATTGATAACATTTAAAGTTATGGAAAATAAGATCAGTATAAATTTATAAGGGCGGTAGATAAATGATGGCGTCCAAATATCCCCAGTGAAAAATACGACTGACAATTGGTTTACCAGTACTGTCCTGTAAGTCACAAACTTACAAAGTCATCACTGAATGACCGTAGTACATAAATTCCATCCTTACGAGACACAGCCATTTACCTCCTTATCGAGTTTATATTACCTTCTAAAACCACGTGTTCTGATAAGTCGGATATTGGTTGTATCTGTCTGCGGTACTGTAAACGAGACATAATGACGTTATGACCATCGTTATGACGACAGGGACGCTGAATAGCTTTTAACTATTTATGGATAGAATTATCCAATGGCAGTTTTGATATCGCACAGCGACACCGTAATTTGAAAAACTAAGATGGCAATCTTGTCAAAACTTCAAAAATGCAAAGGTTTCAATACATATGATAAAATAGAATCTTATCTTTAAATGCATATTTTAAATCTATATAGAGGTGACACATTGCGACAAATATGATTGATGTACAAGAAGCAGAAACCATCATACATGTACTCCTGGATTGCAGTGAAATAATATTAAAACAAACTTGGCAGCAGTTAATAATTTGATTCAAACTAAGATTGCATATTAATAGAAGTGAATTTAACAACGTCCAGTCAGTATTTCCCCTAAATTCTCTTCTATTATATACATTCAAAATACTTCATATATTTTAATTCATCGCCGGAAAATTGTGGTTACATAAATATGAACGATATAAAAATCTTTTATTACATTATAGAATATTGAACACCTTTGATGATAAAAGTTTTCTACAGTTGTAGGTCGGAGTAACGCGTATACAAACTACATGCATGAACTAATATATGAAATTTCTTCATGAAAACTTGTAATCGTAAATACGCTGTACCTTGTACAGGGGAGGGGGTTAGTTGGTTAGACTGTTGTCGAAATTCTTGGCTTGGTGATTTGGTGGCGCAGATCGTGACTTGTGTTACCATGTATATATATATATATTAATATCGATAGTATGTTCGTGGAATGCAAATTACTTGAATAGATATATGACGAATGAAGTAATAACGACAGTATTGACAAGTAAATTGTTAAATTGTCGTGGCAATTTTCCCATTTATAAAGACACAATATATTGCATGTTACACCACATATATAGAACATAAAACGAAGACAGAGTTATAAAGTATAATGGTAAATTTAGGTGTCTCGATAATTCCTCCGGCCGATGGACACCGAAGGCCCTTTATAAGTTGTTGTTTTCCACGTATCGTCCACAGAAACACCAAGAGGCCATAACATTGGACGTAGAACCTGTATATATTTTTGCACACCGAACCAGCTATAGTATACAGTGTATGAATTGTATACTTATGCCATTTTCCTACTTTCACTTGTTTATTACATAATATTAGATATACACAAGTACATGTAGTTAAATCATCTCAGACGGAAACATGGCATCAATCTATCCATGTTGGCAATTACGTATGTGACAATATAAGTGTGTAAAGAAATACATATGTTAAATTAGACAAGTCTCTGATTAGAGGTTATCTTAAAGTAATAAGGAGGGAAACTTTTTCGGGTGTATATATTTCATATAATCATATAACATGTTTGTCTACAATGCGTTCTAATTGCGAAATTTTATCAGCGATGTATAAAAAATTTGGGAATACTAAAAAAAATTGAATTCTAAAGATGGATGTGATTTTGAGGAATATCATATTTAATTATTTCAATTGCCCTGAAATCAATTAACTAAAATAAAGAAAATATGCATTAATGTAGAATATTTCTGCTCAATATAAGATAGTGATATGATATAGTTCGGTATATCTGAGTGTCATTAGGTTTGTGATATTCTCCAACTCTTTGTCACAAAATGTAGTGAAACCCTCGACAGAGGACCAGATGTAACGATATTGTTTCTATCACTCGAAAGAAATTATTATTCAACATATATAACATGTACTGTCTGAAGCATTCCTGTTTATTAGGCTTTGTATAGAGAAGGATGAAACATCCACAGGATCGGGGCGTGAGTTCCTATACTTAAGAACGGACTGTAAGAACAAAAGAAATATAACAACGTCACTGCTAGTAATAATAGGACTATTCCATGAACATCAAAGACCTGACAGGGACCAGTACATACAAGTACACATGGATAACGTACAGGACGGTAAGTACACCAGACAGGGACCAGTACATACAAGTACACATGGATAACGTACAGGACGGTAAGTACACCAGAGACATGGACCAGTACATACAAGTACACATGGATAACGTACAGGACGGTAAGTACACCAGAGACAAGGACCAGTACATACAGGTACACATGGACAACGTACAGGACGGTAAGTACACCAGAGACAGGGACCAGTACATACAGGTACACATGGACAACGTACAGGACGGTAAGTACACCAGAGACAGGGACCAGTACATACAGGTACACATGGATAACGTACAGGCTGGTAAGTACACCAGAGACAGGGACCAGTACATACAGGTACACATGGACAACGTACAGGACGGTAAGTACACCAGAGACAGGGACCAGTACATACAGGTACACATGGATAACGTACAGGCTGGTAAGTACACCAGAGACAGGGACCAGTACATACAGGTACACATGGACAACGTACAGGACGGTAAGTACACCAGAGACAGGGACCAGTACATACAGGTACACATGGACAACGTACAGGACGGTAAGTACACCAGACAGGGACCAGTACATACAGGTACACATGGACAACGTACAGGCTGGTAAGTACACCAGAGACAGGGACCAGTACATACAGGTACACATGGATAACGTACAGGCTGGTAAGTACACCAGAGACAGGGACCAGTACATACAGGTACACATGGATAACGTACAGGCTGGTAAGTACACCAGAGACAGGGACCAGTACATACAGGTACACATGGACAACGTACAAGACGGTAAGTACACCAGAGACAGGGACCAGTACATACAGGTACACATGGACAACGTACAGGACGGTAAGTACACCAGAGACAGGGAACAGTACATACAGGTACACATGGACAACATACATGACGGTAAGTACACCAGAGACAGGGACCAGTACATACAGGTACACATGGACAATGTACAGGACGGTAAGTACACCAGAGACAGGGACCAGTACATACAGGTACACATGGACAATGTACATGACGGTTATTACACCAGAGACAAGGACCAGTACATACAGGTACACATGGACAACGTACAGGACGGTAAGTACACCAGAGACAGGGACCAGTACATACAGGTACTCATGGACAACATACAGGACGGTAAGTACACCAGAGACAAGGACCAGTACATACAGGTACACATGGACAAAATGCAGGACGGTAAGTACACCGATTATAAGCAGTTGTGAATGCATAATAAAGATCCAGATAAGCCTGTTGTGCAATATGTTTGAATAAATTCTTTATTTTTGATTTCTCATATTTTGTTGATCAATCACGGGTTTTTTTTTCACAAATGTAGCTGTGTTATGACTTCGTTTTTACTCAGAAATGTTATTTCAGATGTGAGGAAATCTTTCAAGAGGTTAACCTCCAACAATACAAATCAGTTTGGGTTTCCGTACGATTTCCACTCCATTACCCACTACGGACAGTACGCTTACGCTAAAAATACGTCATTGCCTACCATTACAACCAACGTGACTGAAGTCGGATTTGGCGAAAACACCGTCCTCAGCTACTATGACGTGCGTAAAGTACAGATGTTGTACTCATGTGCGAAAGGTAAAATATATAGTAGCCACACACGCCTTATTGTTATGTTATTGAAATTAATACTCTTAATTTAACAATAGGTTTTTAATCTATATTTAGGGGGAAAGTTGTGCTGATTGTATTTTGCTGAAACAAGAATCGTTTCAAATGATTTATCAAATCGTTAAATCATGTTCATCAATCCTAACTTATTTATATATACCTCCTAAGACAAGATACTATTGCCGCGTTCAATTTTCTATTTGTGTCTTTTTCCATTTCAGGCTACGCAATGTTTCGAGGCCAGCTCAATCTTTTTAAACAAGAAGCGTTTGATAAGTTCTACCCGCAATGGCACAACAGCTCTGAGGATCTCCCGGTTTACATGAAAAGGGACTGTTATAAAAACAGCACTGGTAAGACAGCCATGCTGTAGTGTTAGATCGGAAGGTTAATTAAGACAACCATGTTGTAGTGTTAGATCGGGAGGTTAATTAAGACAGCCGTATTGTAATGTTAGATCGGGAGCTTAATTAAAACAGCCATGTTGTAGTGTTAGATCGGGAGGTTAATTAAGACAGCCATGTTATAGTGTTAGATCGGGAGGTTAATTAAGACAGCCATGTTATAGTGTTAGATCGGGAGGTTAATTAAGACAGCCATGTTGTAGTGTTAGATTGGAAGGTTAATTAAGACAGCCATGTTTTAGTGTTAGATTGGAAGGTTAATTAAGGCAGCCATGTTGTAGTGTTAGATCGGGAGGTTAATTAAGACAGCCATGTTATAGTGTTAGATTGGAAGGTTAATTAAGGCAGCCATGTTGTAGTGTTAGATCGGGAGGTTAATTAAGACAGCCATGTTGTAGTGTTAGATCGGGAGGTTAATTAAGACAGCCATGTTGTAGTGTTAGATTGGAAGGTTAATTAAGACAGCCATGTTGTAGTGTTAGATCGGGAGATTAATTAAGACAGCCATGTTATAGTGTTTGATCGGGAGGTTAATTAAGACAGCCATGTTGTAGTGTTAAATCGGGAGGTTAATTAAGACAGCCATGTTGTAGTGTTAGACTGGAAGGTTAATTGATACGTTGATAACTACAGACGTGATACAGGTACTGATAGTTGCATTAATGACCTTCCATTTGTAGAAAGAACACTATATTAAACCCAGCAAGAGATGTTGATGCCCATGTAACGTCATTTAAAATGAATATTAGGAGAAGGCGTTGATAAATTGTAATAACTTGTGCCAAATCCTTTGTCTATCTTTTGAAAATAAATATGTTTAAACTAAAGAAAGAAAACACCAAGAAAATAATAAAAGAAAATGGCCAGATATTTGAACTTATTTACTAATAAAGCCGACAATTGCCTGCTAACATGACTAAAATAATTAATTGAAATGATAATTCATATAGTAGCAATTAAAAGCATTTTTTAACATTTTTACAAGCCTAAGTGGGGTCTAGAAAACTCCCCAAAGTCTTTCATGTTAAGTAGATATTAGATCTTTATCGAAATACTTGATTTTTAGACATTTCCGTTCTACTTTTCCAAAATTCGTCAGTGATGAAACTTCTTTAAGCTGTCGGTTTAAAGTTCTTTTGGTTTCTGTTTGTAGAGTAAATATACATGTATTATAAAGAATCATCATGCATATGTACCTACTTCACTAGATATTTACACCTTGACTGTCCTGCACGGCGCCAAATGGACGAGTAAGCTCCCCTTACCGCCGGGTAACTTCAGTATTTCTGTGGATGTATGTATCGCCACTTTCTCTAATGCGATAAAATCCTTCATTGAGATGAAGATGGGAACAGACACCTCGAGATTCGACCACTTAAAACCAAGCCAGCGTGGGCAATGGGAAAACCTCAATGTGACGTACACTTCACTTGCCGAATGGAACGTAAGATTAAATATAGTTTGTATTAACAAATCTTAGCTAAATAAATCCGAGTTTTAAACCATGAGCGCTATTTATTGTAATAATAATAATGATATGATAATTTACATGAAATACAATTATTATTTATCAGTGAAAATGAATTAACTACTAGTATTTAATACTTATTTGTTTACAGTTGGTTCTGAAAGCTCACATCCTGTGGGGAGAAGATGTACTGGCTGTGGACAATCTCGTCGTCACCCCCAATGTCTAATGTAATCCACAGGAGGGGATATGTATGTTAATTCTGTAGTCACAGTGTTCAAACGTTGCCTTGAGATGAAAGGAAACGAAAGACTATTAAGTGTTGTATCTGAAGTAGACATACTTCAAATGATTTAATCAAACTAAACTTTAATATGTATGATTAAATAAAATGTCTTCTGTCATTGCTATTAAACATTTTCCAATTGCTTTCAATCTCAATCTTGTGCTGAAGGCGTATTACATTTTAACGACCAGAAATCCACTAACTTGATATTTCCCTGAACATGAAATCAAGGACACACATCTTATCTCACAACGATAGCCAGTTAAAGTTGAATCATAAACGTGATATTTGAAATTTCTGTACTGTGAGTTTTTCCCTTTTCTAGATAGTGATCTCCGTAATTTTCCAACCTATGATGTTTGGATATCGCATGTAATTTGTCTAAAGACTATTCCCGATTTCACAATTGTAGGTAAAGGTGTTGATAAAAAACCGACAGTAACATTTATAACCGAGGGTTTCACAAGATACAGGTTGATAAAAAGCATGTATCATTATAAGGTCACCGTTATGAACTCCTTGAGAAATATTAAAGTTCCTCCTGTGATTAAACAAGACGTCTACGATCCTCTTCAGAATGCTTGTCTATGTGACCGTCTCTGCGTTTTGTGTAATTTCTTCATTGGACCAAATGTTCATTTTGGATGGCGTTGATGAAGCTGAAAACGCTTACTTTTCTGGAGTCCTAATCTTTCTTCAAAGACACTATGTAATTCCTCACTTTGCTTATGTATTAACCTCGTTTATTTTTCGTTATCGAGTTTGAATTAAGATTGTGTTGAATGGTCGATACATGTTTGGGGGAAAACCAAAACAACAAAAAAATAACTGAATACAGCTAATATGGACCAGCACATACACCAGAATTATATCTTACATTTCCGCAAATTAGGAAATAAAAGTATTCATCTGTCTGATTAATGTTGGTCCTTATTCTCACCCCGTTACAAAGTGTTATGCGGGGAGTAACTGTGAATCTTCATTACCCTAGTGGAACACATCTAATTTTGATACGAAGCTGCTCATTGGCTTTCTGTTTGGTTTTGTTGTTGTATACCTTGTTCTCATTTGAGAACATGACATCACATACTTTGATTGATTAAGGTTTACATGACATGTGTTGTCAGAGAAGCCGAAGACGCTTTCGTGAGAACACCTTGAACTGTTGGGAATCGTGTAAATCTTTCTTGTGTCAGTATTCTGTCCTAGTTTCAACGAATTAGGCTGACTTCTTTTCACACGAGAAAGAAATTTATTAGAGACCTTATCAAAACAGGTCTCAAAGACCTTGCAAAGGCGTTTAATTTCACTTCCAGATATATTGATGACGTCTGGTCTTTAGATAACAAGAAATTTATTGACCACGTCCAACGTATTATTTACCAGATATAACACTCTTCTACATCAGTCGTTTATCTCGATCTTCGCCTTCAATGAAACCAACAAAGATAGTTTTCCACTAAGCTGTATGATAAACGTGGTTTTAATTTCCCTATTGTAAATTTTCCATTTTGGGATAGTAACATACCTGCATCCCAACCTATGGTGTTCACATGTCGCATTGATTCGATATTCAGGGGCCTGCTCTCATTATCAGGATTTAGGTGCAAGAAGTCGTCAAATAACGGACATACTCGGAACACGGGGTTTCAAATGATGCAGGTTGATAAAAATTTTGAAGTTTTATTATTTTTTTATTATTGTTCTCATTAAGAACTAGTCCATTTCTTTATGCAGTTTGAAGCTGGACGCGTTGGATGCTCGTTAGTTTGTCTGTTGGTTGTTGTATACTTTGTTCTCATTTGAGAAAGTGTCATTACTTACTTGGATTGACCAAAGTTTACATGGCGGGTGTCGTCGATAAAGCAAAAGACGCTTAATCTTCCCGAACACCTGATATAATTCTCCTTGTACTTTTTCGGGGGTTTCCGTGTAAATATTTCTTCTGTTAATACTTAGTTTTAAGGAACTTGAATTTGGATTATGATTTTGTTGACATGTTGGTATTTTCTTGTTTTCTTTTATTGATTTTAATGGCAAATAGTTTGACAGATCTAAATACCGTAAACAAGTCTAACTTGTTATACATGATTATAAAGTTTTCGACGTGACATGTAGGATTATCAGCCGTAAAATCAGAGCAAACCTATACGAATGATTGTGCGAAAAGACCCATGGATTAACACGAATACAAACAAAAAGATATGTCTAAAACAAAACAGGTACAGGTATAGCCTTTTGCTATACTAAAAAGACATTGGTGTTTCAACAAATTAAAGTTTGCTTAAAACAATGTTTTACGTGTCACAAAACTCAAACCATGCCATACTATTATCGTCGCTTCAGTGACTACTATGATTCCCATAGGCGTGTTCTAGTTCATGACATTGAATTGGGATGATACTTGTGACCGGTTGATACATGCACTTGTACCGGGTAGATTTGGATTAAGAGTTTTTAACAAATATGTCGCCAGTCTACTATCTCCAGTGGATACTTGAAGCAGTCGATAACGAGAAAATTTCTTTCTAGTTTGTGCTTATGATTAAAGCGTGTTTTGATAAAATACGTTATGACCTGTACACCTACATTGCAACTTCCTAGTTAAGATAAAAAGTCGTTGGACACGTTGACACAACGTGGGATGGTTTTCAGTTTTACCTGTTAGACGGAACTCTACAGACATGCATCTCCGAACTTTCTTAAGTTTACTGGTTTTCACCCTTATAAATGTGAATACTGCAAGTAAACCGCAGGTAAGTCGTTTTAATTCAATATATTTGTAACATGGATCTGTTGAGACGTTAGCATGCCATGCTACCTTATTAAACATATATGGAGACATCCTATTGTAATTCATGGGATCACGTTATTTTTTCATTACTATTCTATCTTATTACATGTGACATATGGCGATCTTTCGTCGATAACTTACACCCTGCTACAAAGATATATCAAAACGTTCTTTTCTCCTTGGATTCTCAATCTGCGCTGTTCTTTACGATCTGATCTCCCATTCAATTCCCATGCCAAAATCATGTATTTACAATATTTCCTTAATTTCCATGATTTTATGAATTGAACTTAAAAAGTGTTATTTACCTGTGCGTCTTATGTGCAATCTTCTTAAATCTCCGATTTCATGAAAACATGAGATTTCTGATAGATGGGGCATAGATTTTAATCCTGCAAAAATGTTCATCTCTAACAATCAGTAAAACACACAACACTATAATAAAAAAAAACAACGTAAAAGAACACAAACAGTGTTAAACTAAATAATTTTGGTAGCTAAGGGGACCTTGTTGATACTATCTATAACAAACCATGTAAAAGAATCAATACATCACTGAAATATAAAATCATTTGAAACCATTTACACTATTTTCATCAAACCAATATTAGAATGATAACTGATGTCAGAAAAGGCACGAGTCATTCAATTATTTTTAAGAAATTAGTGTGGATACCATCAAAAACGAAGAAATTATCATATACTTATGTATAAAATTTTTCACCAAGTTGCCCCTCAATACTGAATACTCTACTCGCTCTTGTGGTTATCAAAATGAGGACCAACTTAATTATTTCCTATACTGCATAGCCTACACCAATAAGAGGACAGAACTTATTAGCTATTATAGATGTTATTGATCTCTTCTGTTAAATAATACATATAACTTAAATTTTCTATTACATGGCAGTCAACAAAATTGAACAGATTAATATACAAATCTTACAATTGACCTTGTCTTTCATATCAAGTACTAACCGCTTTTTACTTCAAGTATTTGGTAGAGCTTTCTTAACCCTAATTTAGATTTGGTAGGGTACGTTACCTCGAATGGACGAAATTATAAAAATAATCGAGTATTTGGTTAACAACATCTTCGTCGAGTCTGGTGGTAAGATCTTCCTACAGATTATTGGCATACCTAGGGAACCAACCGCTCCCCTCTGTTGGCTGACTTGTTATTGTTTTCATATGAGACTGAATTTATTGAAGAACTTATTAAAACAGGTCACAAAGACCTTGGGAAGTCGTTTAATTTAATCATGATATATATTGATGTCGTCTGAGCTTTAGATAATAAGAAAATTATTGACTACGTCCATCGTATATATCCACCAGAACTGGAAATAAAGATTCGACAGACTCTTCTACATCAGCTGCTTATCTCGATCTTTTCCAGCAACGAAACCAACATGGACAGCTTTCCATCAAGTTGTATGATAAACGTGATGATTTTGATTTCCCTATTGTGAGATAACCATTTCTGGATAGCAACAATCCTGTATCTCCAACTTATGGTATTTACATGTCACAGTTTATTCGATATTTAACGGCCTGCTTCAATTATCACGATTTTCGTACAAGAAATCGTCAACTGACTGACAAACTCGTGTGCGACATCAAGCTGGATGTATTTGATGCTCGTTAGTTTGCCTATTGGTTCCGTTGTTGTATACCTTGTTCTAATTTGCGAGTGTAACATGAGTGAATAGATGAAAAAATGTAAGTGTTTCTACTATTAGAATATTCATTATTTCACAAATTGATTATAAATAAACTGCACAAGGAATAGTCTAAACTGGGTGTAATGTAGTTACAATATCCTAAACTTCAGTATCAGAAATCTATTGATGAATTGCATCATAGTGTTTCGTCATTCTTTGACACGTCGGTGATACTTGAGATGTAAAGATTTGTAAAAAAAAAAGCAGGAAAAGGAACAACATCACAGGTGACCGAATCGATCGCCAAATATAGACGGAGGGGCGCAATAAACCCATCGGGCAATAACTTTTATTTTATTTTATATCTAAACGCGTGTCAAGTTCAATGGTATGTTTTCTGAATCATGCAACTTTTCAAATGAATTAGTGCTTAGCGTGCATGTAATGCGAAACCAATCGCGATCATTATTTATTGTCATCATCTCCTCTCATTCGTTTTACCTTTTAAAAAGTCCTTTCTTTAATTAAATGATATCAATGTGTTGTTCTTTTGATCGTGTTTTCATTGTCTGCTTGTATTTATTTCGTGCGCATGTTTTATCACTTTACGCCAGCCATACCTGATAACTGTTTAGCAAGTGATGACCTACATTGTACATACTTCTCTCGATAAACCAAGATTAGGATCCCATGTAGGACAAAACGACTTACAATTCAGGAACATCACTGACCTTCCGCTTCGAAAGGTTTACGTAACAACAATTTTATCTGATATTGTACTTGTACACCTATGCCGTTCTTCAAGATATTAATATATTCCAAAATGCAATGAACTAAATACAATCCTCAAATATCATATTTACACAATAATGTCTAGGTACACGAATTTGACTTCAAAATTGTACTTAATGCCGGAATCACATACACCCTAGACATCCTATCGGCACAAAAATTACAAAGAAAATTCCAACATGCAAATCTTGATCAATACAAATATGTAATATCACGTTCCCAAATGAGAACAAGGAAAACAACAACGAAACCAACAGGTATACTAACAAGAATCAAACCCGTCTAACTTTCTATCCGGGAAGTCCTTGAATATCAAATCAACTGCAACATGTAAATACTATAGGTTTGGGATGCAGAAATATTCCAGACATGGATTACGTATAGAAGGATAAAATGTTGTCCTTGATAATTTCGTTTCAGGAAAATATCTAGGTTAGCAGCTGATGACGACATAGATGATAGACATTCAACAATAATAATAATAACAATGCATGAATGACGACGATTATAATTATGATTTTTCATTTTCGCTATAATATGATAAAATTTGACTTTCTTTTAATGATGAAATTTCTTTATTGTAATGTAGTGTAATGCTATAATTTCTTGTAGGTGAGAAATGTTTTGAGTGACAAAAACAAGCTATGGGAGCGAGAAATGATGGTTTATCAGATAAGTAGTCTGATCGGTGAGTAAAACTGGTTATGCATTCATTTTTATTTCATTATATATTAATTTCGAATTTCTTTGATTAAAGCAATTTTCGTTTTATTATTTTGAATTGTTACCGTTTGATCATCAAACAATACAGCTAATAGCAAGTTAGTGTATGAGACGGAGTCAATATTTGTTATGTTATACATTTTGATACCAACAGTTCCTGCAAGCATGTCACTACTCTCTGTATGTGTACTTGTGATGAGTATTTGGTTGTGTAAACAAATGATGACCATTTTGCTGTGTGAATAAATGATAACAATGACATGGACAGCTTTCCATCAAGCTGTGTGATAAACGTGATGATTTCAATTTTTCTATAGTGAATATTTCATTTCTGGATAGCAATATCCCTGCATCTAGCAACGGTCTGTTTCCATTATCACGGTTTTCGTGCAAGTCGTCAAATAACTTAAAAACACGTAACACAAGGGTTCCAAAGATTCAGATTGATGAAAATTGCGGGAAACTTTTATGGTCGCCATAGTGAACTCATTGAGAAATATTCTATTTCTATGTACGAAATGAAGCTGGATGCATTTGATGCTCGTTACTTTGCCTGTTGGTTCCGTTGTTGTACACCTTGTTCTCATTACTTACTTGGATTGACCAAGGTTTACATGGTGGATTTCGTCGATGAAGCAGAAGACGCGTACTCCTCCGAAACACCTGGACTTATTCTGCTTGTTCTTATTCAGAAGTCTATGTGTAAATGTTTCTTAAGTTCATACTTGGCCCTAGTTTTATGGAATTTTTGTTTGAATTGTGATCTTGTTGCCATGTTGGTATTTTCTTTATTTGTTTTAATTATGGACTTTATGTTGTGCAAAACAATAAAGACTATTTTATGAATTATTGCTTTTCGACTGGGTTAACAAATGATGAGCATTTTGTTGTGGAAATAAGTGATGACTTTTTTGTAAAGAAGTTTTTTTATGTTTATAAATGCGTGCTTTATTGTGATGTTAACAATTTTCACAGAGAATTCACAGATAGCTGTAATTGAGGACTCAATGCGGGAGATTGAACATGATGTCGCCACTGACAGAGGGAACTGCTTCACCTTCCAGAAGAAGGAAGGACAATTCCGTGACCGGGCGGACTACCTGTTTATAACGTTGGCTTCAGATGGGTTAGTTATTATCACGTAGTACGGCGTATAGACAGTGTATAAACAGAAAATATATACATTTGAATAACAGCTTTATTGCCAGTAAATCCCAATAATGAATTAACCGGCTACATTTGGTACGCTCTCCTAGTGATACCTCGGGCCTAATTTGCTGAAACTTGGGAGGCGAGCGAGATAAATTTGAAACACCATAATCTTTGTTGGGAGTTTCAACAACCCTGTAAATTTCTAAATTCTATAATCATCTTTTTCAAAAGAACTGTAAATCCAAACATTTGATGATGCCACTATTCAGATTAATATTTAATAGTATGTGACGAAGGGATACCAAAGCGACTTGAAACCTCTCACAGGAAACACAAGATATTTGGTTTCAAACTGATTAATTTCTTGAACATCGTCCCTTCCAATTTCACACGTGTTCCCTCCAGTTTACCGGCCATTGGTATCCAATCGATCAAACATTTCCCCCTAACAAATCCTCCCAACTACAACACTCAGCTGATCATCATCCTCTAATCATTCTGCCACGCTGGTTTCTTCTTCCAGCGCTTCATAATTGCTGTTGCATAGGAAGTTTTTCCATAAACGACAGTCACTTGTTTTTCAAGCTGTTTGGCAAATAGATACTCCGGGACTAGAAACATTACCAGCTTACTGGGGGTAGGTCCATCCAACAAAGTAAACGTTAAGTCAATATCGAAAACAAGGATCTATCTTACGGTAGGTTCATTTTACCGTCTTACAGGAAATATGTATGAGACTCGAAGCAGTTTGTTAAAGCCATTGGCAGGTTTTGATACAATTTGACCTCTGTCATCATTTCTTTTCCCAGAATTGGTGAGCCTCATCCTAAGAACTTATGATCCAGTTATTATGATCCTAAGCATTCTTAATCAGAATAAATCCTTCTAAGGACTTAAGAACTTGAGCATGAGTCAAAGTCATTTCTTTTCTCAATCTTCACAAAAATCATGATCCTTGGCCTTTGGTTTATAATATGAGGAAATTAGATAGTTTTAACAAATTTGATATCTACGACGTTGAATACGTTTTTTCGAGCTTCATCCAAAGTACAAATAAAAAAAATATCATGACGCTAGATATTTTGACCATCAAAGTCATGATACTTAGCCTTTTAGCTGTTGATATAAAGCGATTCGAAAGCAATTACAATATTGTTTGGCTTCATCCAAGAAACCTTCCAGCTAAATATTGGGATCCTTTGTTTATTGAAAATGATTTTTTTTGTTACAAATGTTACTATTGGTGTATATTTGTTATATATGATACAGGCAATGTACCAATGTAACCACGGAGATAGTCCATGATAAAAGAACTACAGGCAATGAATACTTGTATCCATAGGGATACGCAATGATTATTGTACAATTAAGAATAATTATTATTTTCTCAAACCGTGGTACTACAGATATGAAATCATTGATATGAACGAGGAATCCCGTACCTTCCCGATCCTAATCACCCAGAGTTACTTCCTTTCGTTTTACTCTATCAGTAGCGATACGCTTGAGTGCCGATGGAGGCCCTGAGAATACACATTAGAGATGAGATAAGACTAATAGATAATATGTATATCTAATATGTCTCTTATCAGTCTTTTTCCTATTTCATATAGCGATTATTTTACCTTAAAACTTTTTCCTATTTCATACAACGATTATTTTACTTTAAAACTTGTTGAAACGTATTAAACGGCTTCTGATAAGCCGTGCATATTATAGATACAATGGAAAGAGTTGTCATTATCTAACACTTCAATCACTATTATTTCAGCTCATTTTTAATTTTTCATATGTTGAATTGCAATAGGTCTCGCATAAATCTATACTGAGGGTAACACTCTTTTTTATTACTATCATTATTGTTTTTAAAATTCATGTCAGACAAGTTGTTGTCCCTGATCTATACTTGTCTCCTGTATATTTTGTTGAAATTGCCATTTCTATGTCAATCGACCGGTCCTTTAACGAAGGTTGTACGTTCTTAGGAGTATAACTGAGCTTACGTTTGTTGTCGTAACATGTCCATACATCTTTATGATTAAGAAAGTTTTAAAACCTGCTCAATATTTAATTTCCATCCAGAGTGTGCAAAACAGATCACATTGGTATGGCCGGAGATCGACAGAGACTCTATCTCACTGACAGCTGTATGTTCAAAAGGGATATAATGTCTCTACTATTGCTCACAATGGGCTTGTTCCATGAACATCAGAGACCAGACAGAGACCAGTACATACAGGTACACATGGACAACGTACAAGACGGTAAGTACACCAGAGACAGGGACCAGTACATACAGGTACACATGGACAACATACATGACGGTAAGTACACCAGTGACAGGGACCAATACATACAGGTACACATGGACAACGTACATGACGGTAAGTACACCAGAGACAGGGACCAGTACATACAGGTACACATGGACAACATACATGACGGTAAGTACACCAGAGACAGGGACCAGTACATACAGGTACACATGGACAACATACATGACGGTAAGTACACCAGTGACAGGGACCAATACATACAGGTACACATGGACAACGTACATGACGGTAAGTACACCAGAGACAGGGACCAGTACATACAGGTACACATGGACAATGTACAGGACGGTAAGTACACCAGAGACAGGGACCAGTACATACAGGTACACATGGACAATGTACAGGACGGTAAGTACACCAGAGAGTGACCACTCGATACAGGTACACATGGACAACGTACAGGACGGTAAGTACACCAGTGACAGGGACCAATACATACAGGTACACATGGACAACGTACAGGACGGTAAGTACACCAGTGACAGGGACCAGTACATACAGGTACACATGGACAACGTACAGGACGGTAAGTACACCAGAGACAGGGATCAGTAGCATATGGCAAAATATAGAAGTGTCAATGCAACTATTTTTAAAACGATAAAAAAAAACCCTATGAAGATGAACATAAGGAATGGAGACAAAGACATGTTCAGAATGATACACTGTTCTATCATAATCAGACCAGGTGAAGATGTTTGTAGATACTTTTTTAATATCCTTACCAATTACTTGTATACAATTTGCAACTTATACTTCACTCAATTCTGATCAAGAAACCATATTTAGTTACGCAGTGGTCTTTATAAATGGCATTTCCCCAAACTCTGATATTTATTTCAGCGGCAAGACCAATGTTTGCAAAGATCCCAGCGAGTGAAACAGACCTTCTAGGGTTCCCGTATGACTTCGAATCAATCACTCATTTCAATCCCTACGCCTTTGCTAAGGATCACACAAGTCCTACAATCAGCGCGGTTTTATCTGGGGTCAGCTTCGGGAACACACACACGCTAAGTTATCATGATGTTCTCAAAGTACAGACCCTCTACATATGTGGCCATGGTAATATCTCAGTAATTATCGCAGTGATGTACAAATGTAACCATGGATATACATGTACTCCATAATAGTTATACAAAGTACTACAGTCAATGTGTAAATGTAGCCATGAAGGTACTCAGTAATTGTTATAGAAAACACAGGCAATGCACTAATGTACCCATGGGGATACTGAATCATTGTTATATAAAGAAGTGGCAATGTACAGATAAAGCTGCATATTTACAGAAATTATTTAGGCGATGCATGTATTCTGCCTTTCCCGTGTCAATGAACCAATTCAGCTGAATATTGTAAATTAGTTTAATCAAAGTACATATTGGACGTACTTTTCTGGTTTTTTTTTTTTTTTTGTTTTTTTTTTTGTTTTTGTTTTATTATTTTTTTTATCATTACAGATACTTCGCACATCATTGGAAGTCCAGGTTTGTAATTTTGACGCACAACATGAAGTCTTTTTTTGAATGTAGTTGTTTTTTTGTTGTTTTGTTTTTGGTATTTGGCAAGACTGTCTCTTAAAAGTAACACCATCTATGTAATTGTAAAAGGTACTCAGAGTATGCAATAGAATAGACAATATGACTAATAAATCCACATATAACGGTAATTGCTTAACTGTCCTTAATTATTTAACCATTGACCATGTGGCCTTTTTGTCTTTGCAGCCTTTGCGGTAGATTGCAACTTTGAAAATATTTTGTGCAATCTTGCCGATGATTACCTGGATGAGTTCAAGTGGGTCAGACAAAGTTCACCCTTAGGTCATAACGGTCCTGTAGCGGATCACTCAAGTGGAAGTGGTGAGTTAACTGTCCTTGAGCCGATCGCTCGAGTAAAAATTACTGAATCGTCCCTGACCATTGCACTCGAGTGAAAGTGTATTGAATTGTCCCTAAGCCGATTACTCGAATAAAAAAGTACAAACTGTCCTTGAGCTGCTCACTTGAGAGAGTACTATATTATCCCTGCGCTGATGGTTGTAGATACATTGTTCCTGGGCTGATCACGGTATTGATATATGCTCGCCCCTCCAAGAATCGTTCTTGTTGTTATTTAATGAGATACAGATGATGACGATGGTTGATGATGATGATGAGGATGAGGATGATGTATGGGAAAGTGTGTTGCACATGTAGATGTCAATATCTATAAAAATTATGAAACTTTTCAAAAATAAAAGAAATAAAAAAAAAGAATCGTTCTACCAAAAGGAAGTGGTCAATTAACTGTTGTTGTGCTAATTGCTTAAGAAGGTGGAGTAAGTAAATAGTGTCTCCTCCCTCAAGTCGGTCGTTTAAGTATCTCTGACAAGAAGCGATAATATATCTTATTTGTATCACTTGCAGAAATGAAATTCAAGGCCGAAAACAATATAAAAAGACAAATGATGATAAACGATGTTTAAGTATAGTATCAAGTTATAATTTTTATAATGCTATATAACTGAAGTTACATCTTACATATGTAATTCTCATTAGGATACTACTTATATGCAAACGGTACTGGACATGCCAACCAAACATCTCGATTACTATCAGCCAGAGAGATACAACCGGGTGAGTACTGCATCGCAATGCACTATTTCATCGTTGGAAACTCTTCCGCAACCTTGACCGTGAGGATGTATGACTACGTCACTGACAGTGAAACTACTCTATCCTCTAGAAGGACCAATCACGGAAGCAATGTGAACGGTGGCTGGTACCAATACAGGACATACTCCTCCAAAATAGATCATAAGTGGAGAGTGAGTAAAATATTAACAAATAACACGGTACTAATCAATGCATCCTTCATAAGTAGCTTAATCTCTGTTTTGTAGCATAGTGGATAGTGTATAAGGTAGCACAATAAACATTTACTTGAACAGCTGATTCGCAAACACGGATAATACATGATAAAGGTTAAAACAACCTGACCTTTTCTTACGTGTAGATATTCCCCTTGTGGATTATGGAATTCCATTAACGTTATAGGATATAAACCTGATTCCGTAAATGATTATTTGGAAGTAGATGACCCTATAAAATGTAATTAGGTTGCTTTTAAAACATTGCGTCCCTATCGTCTCTAACTTAATTCCATCTGCTAACACACTTATTTAATTTCTGTAACAGTTTGCGTGTATTCATCGAACCTTCCAATGATCGTGTTCTGTAATATGTGTCTTCTTTATCTACCAGAAATGAAATCAATTGGTGTTTTAACAATTTCTTTTTTGTAATTCATCGCTGTACCTAGAATTTCTTCCGTCTCCATAACAAACCAAATTATTATTCATGTTTACCATCCCTTTTATAATTAATTTGTTTTTCTATTAGTGGTTCTGTTCATACTTCGTACTTTTGCAGGTATACATCGAAGGTTATATCGAGAACGAGGCTGGTGGTGTAGCAATCGATGATGTCCAGATCTACCCTGGAGTCTGTTCTTAAACTTCGTCAATGAAAACAGAAGACTTACATCTCTAACAAACAACGTGTTTATTCTACTATAATCAAACTCCACTTGTTTGTAAAGTCAGTAAATAAATAATTGTGATAAATCTATATTGAGTATATGTGTTAAATTATCAAACGAAAGAATCAAGCTAGATCACTGCTAAAACTTATCTAAAATTTTTTGTAAATAACGCAATGATACAAACCACATCGAAAAACGAAGGCGGATTTCAAGGAGACAAATTATGTTACCAACGTGATACCCGTAAATACAAGGGTTTACGCATACAAATAGCGAACTTAAGTGTTGACTAAATTATTTATGGCAGGTGGTCTGATCTGGATCTGTTCTATAATTCCATCATACATAGAAATAATATCTCAAACACATGCTTTAGTAAGTAGCAATAAGATTTTATTATCATCCTATCACTGCTGATGGCGCCAATGCTTTGAACCGTTCACATATGACTTTGTTGATAGTTGTCCTACTACTGTAGCACGGGGCGTCGTTCCACCGCCATCCATACGTCTCTCCAAACTCTATACAATTTTCCATTTGGTTGAGGTAGTTATTTGGCTCCCCAGGAAACCAATTTGTGAACCTACACGCCAGAAACAAACCATGAATATTAGTTACATAATTAACATAATTAAGTGCAACAATATGTTTATTTATTCGACACTCTTAAATAGAGCCAATGTTCACTAAAGAATACTCTGTACTTAAGAAAGCAAACCAGAAGAACTTGAAAAGGAGACCTACTATGTCTTGACAAGATGACGTGTAGAAAATTTTTGTTTGAATACATGGTTTGAACCAGTTTTACAATTAGAGGATTGCAGACAATTTCTTTACGGTATGTTATTCTTCTATACCTACTTAATCTCTGTGCCTGTTGAACTCCATTTAAAAATACCGACGTGCCCTTCTTCTGTTCCATCAATCCAAACTACAAATTGATGACGTTTACCATGATAATTTTTCTGGCACATACAACTCACATTTATTGAAGCAAAACAGTTATTCAAGCGTGTAAATAGTCATGGTATAGCCATAAACAAGTGATACAAGTAAAGTACTAAATCATCTTCTAATATGTTAAAGGCAATTTCCATACAAATCTAGATTAAATCAAAGCAATTTTATGTCCTCCGGTGTACATTTAGAAAATGCATACCTGTAAAAAATCGACACGACAATTCAAATTGAAAATCGATAAGACTGTTGAAAGAGTACAAGGAGAAAAGATCATGAAATCTGGGGGAGTATGGGTATTCTTGGCGACACCCGTCGAGTTAATCTGGGTAAATTCATGAAAGTAATGTTCTCAAATGAGTTCAAGTTTAACTCTTACGATACCGCGATGTATACCAACTAGCATCGAACACTTCTAACTTTATATTCCACAATTAAACACCATGTTCTCAAATTAGATACTGGTGAGGACAATTAATCTGCGTGCATTTTTTATTGGGAGTTTATCTGCCACCTGGTAAATCACCTGTTACACCATAGGTCGGGGAAGAGGGTGGTGGCTATCTAGAAATGGAAAGTAGTGATCGGAATCATCACTTATGGATAGCCGTGCATATCAGTTTTACTATCGAAATAGGTAAATGTAAATTAAGACATCTTTAATATATATAAAACTGGAATAAAAACACTTTTCCAGAAGTCATTAAAATAATTTCTGACTTCTAAACTTTGTTAGAGGGCAACAGTAGAGAAATGCTAATAGGAACAAAAAAATAAATAATCAACTATGAAATTACCGTCCCCGTGAGCTACAAGGCTTCGTAGATAACTATCCTCGCTGGCTGATTCTACGATTGGAAGATGGGCTGTCAGTTTGGTACAAAATGCCTGTTGTACATAAGTTAAATATATCCATGAATATACATTAAAGACATACTGTTATTTGCATGCCACTGTCTAATTTATTTGAAAAGTAGTGTTTTGCAAATAAATATAGAATATCTAATGGTTTCCCGTGTAATATCAGATATATCTCACGAGTACGACAGAATTTTTATATTTTTAACATAAAGTGAAATATGTATGATTTTAAACGGGAAAACATAATTAAAAAATATTTTGAATGAAAATTAAGGGAAAGGCCTATCCAAAGACAAAATAAACCTAAAAAAATTGGGAAATATTAGCGGGTTATATGACAGTTGACAAGACGACGCCATTTTGAACAGATTGTTGTACGTTGTATTCTACCATCTTACGCTGTTATCCGGTAAGAATCGCTTGCAAAACTGTTTATGTAATTTCGGAAAAAAAAAGAAATGTACACTAGAATTATCTGATAAAAAAACATCTTCATTAACCATCGCTTTATTTTCTTCCGAACAGGAAAACTTTATTGTAGTAAGTAGATAGCAACACTCTGGTTGGTCAAATCTATGTAAGATGTATCACTGGAAAAGATAAATCATCACTGATGAATATATAATATCTTGTAATAACTGCAGTAATACAAGTTTTAATCAAATTGATAAATTCCTATATTTCACTGGCAAAAATGTCACAGATAAATATAATTTGCGTCTTCCGAAATCATCTCGTACTGAAAATAATGGGATTTATCAAATGAACGGGAATATGAATTTAACATTATATCGACCAATTTTGAATTCCCATGGTCTCCTCCTTAGTCTAAAGAAATTAGGTCTCAAGTTAATGAGACATAGAACGACGAAACATTTGTATGATGCAGAGTCATTCACATTATTTAGCTGTGTTGTATCTGCTTCTTAATTTGCTCTTAATGTGTCATTTAGTTATGTTGTACAATCCTTTTAAGGTTGTATGAGCTACTACCTGTAGTGGCACGTGTTATATGTTGGTAAACTAATGCAAAGAGAACTCGCCTATCACAGAGACAAGAAGGGAGTGAATTCACCATACACTTGACACTACATTTTTATATCAAAGACCAAGTGTTTTGTCCGTTTATATTACTATTTAATGTTTATGTGTCCCAGTAATTACGGATCTGGTTGTAACTTTGTTCAGAATACACACATGTACTAGATGATTTATTTGAAATATCAGATATACGAAAATTACCAAATTTACTGAATTATAGAGCAGGTGCGCCTTCCTATCAACAATTCTAGATTTTTTCGATCACTTTGGATTTTCTTCAGTTGCCTACAAGTTTTAACAATTTGACCATCAACATTAACATCATGAGTCCTAGGAAGATGAAATAGCTGTATGATGTAGTTTCATTGTTTGGTTCTACTGTATCTTTTCTTTATTTGTATTAAAAGTTTAATTCACTTGCGTGTCTTTTGTACCATATCCTTGGTCTATGTATGCGGTGTAACTTGCGTAACAAAGTTGTCTTGATATAGGGGTGGACCATCTAGACAGCGTGGTCCCAAAGGTTTCACGATGGGGTTCAGAAAAGAGAATATTCTTCTGATGCTGACTAATGAATGCATTCGATATGTATTTGATTTCTAAAATTAAGCAATACACCTGTGGGGATCTGTCATAGTCTACATAGGCGCAACACTTTACAAAACAATTCCCCTACATCAATTAAGGTGAAATTTGACAAGGCAATCACTCTCCCAGCGTGCAATATTAAACAATGATAACATCTGTATAAAACACTGGTACACAGAAATAACAGTCGCCAGCTAAACACATAATTAAAAGATTGGTGTAGTGCTTTGGTATGTCTGTGACAGACGCTTTAAAAACGATTATTCCACCATCAGAGGAACAAAATGGACTATTGAGAATAATTGCGGATAAATTACTGTTGTGTAATTATTTTCTTGTGTCAGTAGTTATAATGCGTCAAATTTTCGATATTTTTTTTAACCCTGATGAACGTAGTTTTAGTAATTACCAAATCTAGAGTAAAGTTTTGATATTGTATCAAAGACACAAAATACCAATATGGCAATATAATCATAATTCAAGCTCAAGTTACAAAAAACTTGGATTAAAGAAAGATTTACTCCTGAAAGTATAAGATCAGGTGTTCGGGAAGGTTAAGCGTCTTCATCGCCGATAACGGTCATTTAAACTTTGGTCAATACAAGTAAGTAATGTCATGTTTTCAAACCAAGCTGTAAAACATCGGAACTAACTGGAAAACTAACGAGGCTCAAATAAGTCCAGCTTCATGTCACACAAAGATATAGAAGATTTCCAAATGAGATCACTATGACAACCGTAATCAAGCAGTTTGCATTTTTTGAAACCTTGTCTTACGTGGTTGTCGGTCAGATGACCACTTTTAGCAAGAAAATCGTGATAATGGGAACAGGTCCTTGAATATTGAATCAACTGTGACATGTAAATATCATAGGTTAGAGATGCAGGGATACTGCTATTCAGAAAACGGAAATTCACTCTAGGGAAATTGAAATCATCACGTTTATCATACAGCTTGATGGAAAACTGTCCATGTTCATGTCAACAAGACAACACGTTATCAATGTATCTGAAGGTGAAATTAAACGAATTAGCAAGGTCTTTGTAACCTGTTTTGATAAGTCTTTTAATCAGAAATAGACACAGTAGAACCAAATTAAGACATAAACTGCACTAAACATCTGTTTCGTCTTTTAAGGATTCGCTGGTGATGCTATGGGCCTATATTTCAAAACTCAAAATTATGTCAGAATATCGATGAGGTTGTGCACTTGTCTCGTGATTCAACCAAGTTCATAATTTTTTATTCCATGCTGAGCAACATTTATTGTTTCTGTATAAATTTACACGTTGTTACAGGTGACCTCGGAATGTTCACTAGCAGTGACTACCACCAGTTTAAAAGGATGCTCAGTACCTTTCAAAACCGATTTATAATTAGATAGAGTAGAGCTTATTAATTTATCATACAGCTATTTTGTCGTAAGTGAACTACTACTGGTTTAAGCCGCTGACTTAGCTCTTACCTTCGCGTCATGCCAAGTAAAAGTAGATGGTACGATACAATACATTCGGTCCAAGTGTTCAACCCAGTTTCCTCCTGGGCACGCTAAAAGGTTGACAAAAATATCCAAACGTTTATTTCATAGGAACAGCTTTGGATATAAATTAAAATTGACCGAAGTCTGTTGAGTACATGTCATTTCTTTGTATGTAAAATGAAATCAGTAGAACTCAGAATACAAAAATAATGATGTTATGATGGATACGTGTCTATGCAAAACGCCGAGAAAACCATTTCGACATTATCATTTAACGAATCGTAATACAAGTGTTACCTGGATATTGAGGCATTGGAGGCAACCTGTTCAAAATAAATGTATCATATGTTAAAAGAAAGAGGGGAAAATTTCTCAGCTTCTTTCATGTTTGTAGGCACGAAAATGCTTTCCATCATAACTGGTAAATGTGATTTCAACCGACAGATTTTCTTGTTGAAAGTGACGAGTATTCTAGGCATTGTTATACGTTGACCACTGTCCCTCTAGATCACTTACTTACACTTGTTAAATGATGATAAAATACCTGACCAATCTCCTCAAAATGCGAGCATTGCCTCAAGTGTATGTTGTTTGCGTTGTTATATTTGGGGGAAAATTGTGATCTTCTGGAATGCATTTGTATTTATTTTTGCCAACAGTAAAAATGCGATGGGATTTCCTGAACTGCATTAAAACAGATGCATACCCTAATGTTGGGAGATGTAAGGTGTTTGAATTCATATTTGTACTTGTGTATACATGACAAAAGTTCGTTACCCATGTTGACATAACACGCTGACTTTTCTGTCACACTTTGCGTCGTTATATGTCCAACCATACTCCTCCCCATACATCAGACAGTTTTCCGAGTGAGAGCCGTAATAGTTATCAGGTTGTGCGATACCCCAAAATAGGTTGGAAATCAGCTGACCTGTTGAACTCCACATCCAGTAACCTTCCCTGCTAGCATCGGTGCCATCTAACCATACTGTAATTAATGTTTGATATTTAATTCTGTGATCCTGTGCAAGTACAAAATCTACAACACAGAACACGTCTGTACTGTTGACTTGTAAAACATTGAGTATACAAGCATATCTAAACAAAATATTTACACAAACATATCAAGCAATGTAACAAAAAGCCATACAGATAACTGTGTACTATAGAACTACACCAAGCAATGTAACAAATAGTCATACAGATAACTGTGTACTATAGAACTACACCATACAATGTAACAAATAGCCATACAGATAACTGTGTACTATAGAACTACACCATGCAATGTAACAAATAGCCATACAGATAACTGTGTACTATAGAACTACACCAAGCAATGTAACAAATAGTCATACAGATAACTGTGTACTATAGAACTACATCATGCAATGTAACAAATAGCCATACAGATAACTGTGTACTATAGAACTACACCATGCAATGTAACAAAAAGCCATACAGATAACTGTGTACTATAGAACTACACCAAGCAATGTAACAAAAAGCCATACAGATAACTGTGTACTATAGAACTACATCATACAATGTAACAAATAGTCATACAGATAACTGTGTACTATAGAACTACACCATGCAATGTAACAAATAGCCATACAGATAACTGTTTACTATAGAACTACATCATACAATGTAACAAATAGTCATACAGATAACTGTGTACTATAGAACTACACCAAGCAATGTAACAAATAGTCATACAGATAACTGTGTACTATAGAACTACACCATACAATGTAACAAATAGCCATACAGATAACTGTGTACTATAGAACTACACCATACAATGTAACAAATAGCCATACAGATAACTGTGTACTATAGAACTACACCATACAATGTAACAAATAGCCATACAGATAACTGTGTACTATAGAACTACACCATACAATGTAACAAAAAGCCATACAGATAACTGTGTACAATAGAACTACACCATACAATGGAACTACACCATACAATGTAACAAATAGCCATACAGATAACTGTGTACTATAGAACTACACCATTTCAAACTCAAGTGTACGGATCAACAGCTATCTTTTAAGTGTGCCTTCCAATTTATCGATTGCTGTTAGGACTATCATTAAAAGGCTTGTCGTTTCTTCATAAACTTAGTTAGGGTTACAGTTATGGTAAAGAGGTTTGCCGAAACTGCCATTATCGTATGCCCGTTCCCGCCAAAAGTATCACGTGGTACTATAAGTATAAGAGCATGGTCTCACCGTTCCTTAATGTAGATGGCTGAATATCTTTCAGTCGAAGAAATATAAAGGTAATTTGTTCGATCGAATCGACGATTGGTAGATGACTGTGGTTTCTTTCACAAATGGCCTGTCCTCCAAGAATAAATGAACGATTTAAAACATATTATAATTTTGAGAAATACCAGTCACAAATCACCAATCCATCCATAAAAACACTGATTATTTTTAAATGAATCAATATAAGATATTGTCACATTACATAGCAATACTACGGTTTCATTGTATGGTATGTTTTTTTTTTTTTTTTTTTTTTATTTTTATTTTTATTTTAAACCACTTGAAATTTATATTAATAAGCATATTTTTAAATCGGGTTATAAATATTTCGTCTTGTGATAAAATATTCATGTCACAAAATACTGTTTTGACTGTACAGTACATATATACTTTGTTATTCATATCTACTCTTTAGAATAGACCAAGACTGTATATTTAACATTTCGATTTCTTAACAACTGATCAGCCAATCACATAGCAACACTCTATAGAGACGAAAATAACATGTTACATCATCAGTAACAGGAACTATCAAAACTTCATTTCAAATATCAATCAATATGAAAACATGTTAAACAAAATTAGCTCAAAACCTGAGACAGAGCTACACGTATGTTTGGAATAACTATGGAAATATTCTAGTACTGTTGCCCGTTATAGACAGTGTGTACTTCATGTACAAGCGTATTAAATGTATTAAAATAGATCATATGAGATATTTTCAATACGTAAAAAGAATTCTAATGCTCACATGCGTTTTGTTTTCCTGAAATAAAACATTTACTTTTTACATATTTGACACAATTTGCTTATTGTGTTATAAAAAAGAAAATACCAATATGTCTTCATATTCATAATTCACACTCTAATTCAATAAATCTATATCAAAATATGAACAAAATGACCCATACCACGATATCAGCTCTACTATAGTCTCATACCACGATTTCAGCACTACCATAGTCTCATACCACGATATTAGCACTACCATAGCCTCATACCACGATATCAGTACTAACATAGTCTCATACCACGATACCAGAACTACCATAGCCTCATACCACGATATAAGCACCACCATAGCCTCATACCACGATATAAGCACCACCATAGCCTCATACCAAGATATCAGCACTACCATAGCCTCATACCATGATATCAGCACCACCATAGCCTCATACCACGATATTAGCAACACCATAGCCTCATACCACGATATCAGCAACACCATAGCCTCATACTACGATATCAGCACTACCATAGCCTCATTCCACGATATCGGATCTACCATAGCCTCATACCATGATATCAGAACTACCATAGCCTCATACTACGATATCAGAACTACCATAGCCTCATACTACGATATCAACACTACCATAGCCTCATACCACGATATCAGCACCATCAAAGCCTCATACCACGATATCAGCACAACCATAGCCTCATACTACGATATCAGCAGTATCATAGTCTCATACCACGACATCAACACCATCGGAACTACATACTTCGAAAACAGAACAAGTACAGCACATAGCTCATTCACAGCTCGCCACATTCCACAACATCAGCCCTACCCTTGCAACATTCCACAGCATCAATCCTATCTTAGCCACACAACAAGCTTGATTTCCTCCTTTAAAAAAACAAAACGTCACACCTGACTTACTTAACCATGACATCAACCCTACCACAGCCGTATGCCTCGATATTAGCCCTTAGACACGTACCACGCAATCAGTCCTACCTTCGCTTCATTCCATGATCTCAATCCTACATCGTCGTGTCTACAGTACTGGACACCACTGAACGTGTCGACGATCCAGCCTGATGCACAAGTAGCAGCTGAGAAAAAATACCAGAAAATTGTTAAGCAGAATGATATAATTTGTCCTCTTAAGTTTAAAATGTTGACGCTGTAACAATATATTTTGATATCATTTCATTTAAAGTACTGCTGGTGTATTGCATTTAGTATAATTTCCGAAAATATTACATTTTAACAACACAAACTGAAAGACTAGTTTAACACCCGGTTCTGTTGGAGGTGACTTCGAATTTATTGTTAAGATTTGTTTTTCTCATATGTGACATTTTATTTATAGTTTACATGGCACTTTGATGCTAATTAAAACGCATTTCCTTTCACTTCACTATTATACGTGTCCCTGGGGATTTTTATATCAAACTTTGTCATCGATGTTGTATTTGTCAGTGTTCTCTTCACTAGTAATGTCACGTTCTCAAATGAAAACTTGGCATACAAGGTCAATCCAAGTAAGGAATGTCACGTTCTCAAATGAAAACAATGCATACAAGAACGCGACCAACAAGCATATTAACGAGCAACAAACACGTCCAGCTTCATATCACACAAAGAAAAAAAAAACGTTTCTCAATGAAATCACTGTAGCGATTATAAAAGGTTGATTGTCACCATGTTTGACGTACCTGTGTTTTCCGTCGTTCGCACTGTCACTCTTGTCACGGCACGTGTTGTCGACGGTACTGTAGTCCTTATAGTGGTCATTCCCGATGTCGTCATCGTTATATTTAGATTATCGTTACACAGAGAAGAATCACAGCACATCGATATATCAGAATGAGAGCATTGCTGGAAAAGGTAACCAATGGTGATTAAAGGTACATAATCACATGACGGTTACATAGATATGATAAAGGTACATAATTACATGACGGTTACATAGATATGATAAAGGTACATAATTACATGACGGTTACATAGATATAATAAAGGTATATATATATATACACAATAAGGGTTCATATATGTAATAATAAGCGTATTTAAGAGAAATGATCTCATAATGGCTATGATGAGGGACAAATGATGCGTATTGAATATACGATTGAACTTACCGACTTTGAAAAACATCCACTGGTGTAGAAGTTGTCGGACCCGAATGTCGTCTTAGTGATGACACACGTCTACAATAGAAATAAAAAGACTATAATATGTTATATATGTACTCGGCCGAAACGGACGAAATAGTTCGAGTTGTACGAGTTCGAGATAACGAGTTTGACCGCATTGTTATAACATGAAACATATACCTATAGACTATATTCTTATAACATAACCAGTGGACCATTTTCATGTATGATGTTCGATTACTACAGGGATCCGAAATAATTACCTTCAGATTCGTTCAAATTTCTTTACATGTTTTGATGAATTATTTGAGTCCAAGTGATTAGTTTATGTTAGGAACAAATCTATATCTGAATAGTGTTATTTCACTAGTCATCTGACTACATACCTGGTCCTGGCTACAGACGGTAATGTCGTCACACGAACCTGGAGTTCTGTGTTGAGCACAATTATAACAGATCTTATGACTGGAATCGAACCCTGTGATCACGTAAACATATATCTGTCATTCCATGATATCCACGATCAAACTATATTTCTAAATGGAACATGTATTGTAGACTACAATGTCTGTTTCATGATACCTCATCCTTATTTCATTTCAATACCTAGTGTTCTACGGCCATGTTGTTATAAGGCGTAGTGTCGTTATAATATTCAAGTGAAAGTAATTACCTGTTGTTCCAAAGCCATGTTGTTATAAGGCGTAGGGTTGTTGTAATATACGGATGTTAATAAGTACATGTTGTTACACAGTGTGGTGTCGTTATAATATACGGGTGTTAATAAGTACATGTTGTTACACAGCGTGGTGTCGTTATAATATACGGGTGTTAACAAGTACATGTTGTTACACAGCGTGGTGTCGTTATAATATACGGGTGTTAATAAGTACATGTTGTTACACAGTGTGGTGTCGTTATAATATACGGGTGTTAATAAGTACATGTTGTTACACAGCGTGGTGTCGTTATAATATACGGGTGTTAATAAGTACATGTTGTTACACAGCGTGGTGTCGTTATAATATACGGGTGTTAATAAGTACATGTTGTTACACAGCGTGGTGTCGTTATAATATACGGGTGTTAATAAGTACATGTTACACAGCGTGGTGTCGTTATAATATACGGGTGTTAATAAGTACATGTTGTTACACAGCGTGGTGTCGTTATAATATACGGGTGTTAATAAGTACATGTTGTTACACAGCGTGGTGTCGTTATAATATACGGGTGTTAATAAGTACATGTTACACAGCGTGGTGTCGTTATAATATACGGGTGTTAATAAGTACATGTTGTTACACAGTGTGGTATCGTTAGAATATACGGGTGTTAATAATTACATGTTGTTACACAGCGTGGTGTCGTTATAATATACGGGTGTTAATAAGTACATGTTGTTACACAGCGTGGTGTCGTTATAATATACGGGTGTTAATAAGTACATGTTGTTACACAGCGTGGTGTCGTTATAATATACGGGTGTTAATAAGTACATGTTGTTACACAGCGTGGTGTCGTTATAAAATACGGATGTTAATAAGTACATGTTGTTACACAGCGTGGTGTCGTTATAATATACAGGTGCTTGTAATTACATGTTGTTCCACGGTCATGTTGTTACACATCGTGGTGTCGTTATGATATGCAGGTGATAGTGATTACCTGTTGTTCCACAGCCATGTTGGTTGCACAGCGCAGTGTCGTTGCAACAACTCACACACAAAGCTGCTTCACTGACCCCGACTGACTTCCGGCGTCCATTGACAGATTGTTGGTCACATAGCTTGTCCATTGTTTGTAAGATAGAAAGGTAAGCAGGTTACGCTTCAGTGAAGGTAAAACCCATTGTAGCCGCACAAGTTAGTTTGCAATGGTGTCCTATGTATATTGTACAATCAAAACTCGAACAAGAAAATAAACCAAAAACCAATCAGACAGTAAAGAAAGTGTTCTTACTCAGCAGTGCCGCCTTACACCTAACAATATGTGGATATCCATAGCCACCTGTGCCGTATAATAGAAAATTAGGAAATCCCTACTAACCTGTGGACCAGTCACACATTACAGCATAGGAAAACCCCAACTCACTTTGTCCCCGTTAAATCTAAGAGCATTAGAAAATCCCTTCTAACCTGTGGCAAGTTACACCTGGCAGCAAAGGAAAATCCCTACCCCCTGTGTCCCACTACACCTGGCAGCAAAGGAAAATCCCTACCCCTGTGTCCCACTACACCTGACAGCAAAGGAAAATCCCTACCCCCTGTGTCCCACTACACCTGACAGCAAAGGAAAATCCCTACCCCTGTGTCCCACTACACCTGACAGCAAAGGAAAATCCCTACCCCCTGTGTCCCACTACACCTGACAGCAAAGGAAAATCCCTACCCCCTGTGTCCCACTACACCTGACAGCAAAGGAAAATCCCTACCCCCTGTGTCCCACTACACCTGACAGCAAAGGAAAATCCCTACCCCTGTGTCCCACTACACCTGACAGCAAAGGAAAATCCCTACCCCCTGTGTCCCACTACACCTGACAGCAAAGGAAAATCCCTACCCCCTGTGTCCCACTACACCTGACAGCAAAGGAAAATCCCTACCCCCTGTGTCCCACTACACTTGACAGCATAGGAATGTCCCTACTCATTTGTGTCCCACTACACCTCACAGCATAGGAGTATACTTACTCACCTGTGTCCCACTACACTTGACAGCGTAGGAAAATCCCTACTCACCTGTACCGCCTTACATCCAACTCTGTACCAGACTACTGCGCTACTGGTCACATACTTTGTAGTTACACATTTCTAAAAATCGAAATCAACGCTTCTTATTATGATCCAAACATACAAATCAGCAATAACCAGGATGACTGCCATCGACTTTGGCAGACATCTGGTTTGTCTCTTGATATTATGATGCATCAGTTTGAAAATTATTTCCGTTACGATTCCCTTGAAAAGCAACAAAACTATCACGTGCGCTAAATTCCATGTATCGTTTATACGTAAAAGAGCTCCATCTAAATGTATTGATCAAAACAAACATCCCCTCGTTTCAGAATACGTCATTTACATAGAAGTATATTGTACTGCTTGAGCATGCGCATTTGATGAAAAAAATGAACGGTTGAAAGAATGTATAGTTGTTAAAAAAATGAACTGTTGTACTGAAGTTCCATACCTCATGAATGCCACATCTTGTCACATGACCACAGTCACGGGGTAGAATCACCTTATCACAGCTGAGACAAAGCGGTCCTTCCCCAAATAGACCTAAAACATAAATATTATTATTAAAAACCGAGTACTAAGTGAGACAAAGTGGTTCATCTTCTGCTAGATCTAATGCACAATTCCTGTAAATAATCTAGTGCTAAAAGATCAAATATTTACCGTAAATGTATATGTAAATCGTAAAGTTACCTTTCATTATAACATTCCAACATTTGCTCCGAATTTTCTCTTCACTTTTGAATTCTCATAGCCCCTACGCTGTTAAATGAAGCTATATGAACTAACGATTTATACTAATTGATGTGTTGGTAGAAAACAAGAGATCACACAATGGTCGGATCTTTACTGGGCCTTTAAAAAGAGGAATTTTCATCATGTTTCTCTCTCTTTGTTGCAAGGAATTTAAATATCTCTAGAAATAACAAACATTCATTGTCAAAATCCAGATGATCCGTCTGAGAGAAATCCATTCAGTACTTGTTTTGTGGATTTACGGACGGACTACGATTAAATGGCGACTTGAATAGCCCATAATCTAATGATGATGAACTAAAACTTCCAGTTTCCCAAACAAAGATGTTTTTTTGATTTTTTTTTTTTTTTGAAGAATAACACTTTTAATACAATGTATAGGATGTGATAAGAATTTTAAAATGAAAGTCCAGATACAATTAAGCAATCGGTTATAATAACCAGAGAACACACAGGGCTCTAGGTACCTACCATTGTTTGGTATATATTGTTTTTACAAATCTTTGTAATGTTTTCTCTTATTTTCTCTGTTTTTGCTCATATTCATTTGAAATTTTGAAATAGCGTTTATAATCGTTAACTGCCAAATTCAAGATGTCTTCCGGCCGTTTTTAAATCAACCCTAAAATCGAAAGGGCAGAACTAGGGGACAGCAGGAATATATATGAATTATATATGTAGTTTGAGAAAGATTCAGTACTTCCCAAGAAATAGCACTGACAAACTCTCATTTTCAAAATCCAAGATGCCCGCCTGGTTTTTTTACCTGTCCCGATTTTAAAGGAACAGGCTAAGCGACCAAGGGACACCTACAACCATGGCTTCCCAAGAGTAGTGATAACGATATTTCATTGTCAGACTTAATGATGACCGCTTGTCAGGCATTTTCCGTTTTTCTGATAAGTTTCTAAATCTAAAAGTGTACAATTATCGAACACAATTATCAACCTACAGATAATGTTTTAGAAAGATATCAAGAAAAAGTGATAACAATTGTCAAAATCCAAGATGTCGCAAGTCGGCTATTTTGTTTCCCTGCAGTCCCAAGACCAGCTTGGAACAACAAGGGACCAATGAGAACTTACGCATGAAATTCGAGAAAAGTCCATCCAGTGCTTTGCGAGAAAAAATTAAAACAAACTTTCATTGTCCAACTCCATTTAGGTTATCTGTCGTCTATGTCGGTCTTTATCAGCATGGAACCCAAATGGTCATAATCATTGACCATGAGGAATCTACGTGTGAATCTGAGAGAAATTCATCAAGTCCTCTTAAAAATAACGACAATGATGCCAGATGAAGATTACAGATGTGATATTCGACCCTTACACAGGCTTTTTGTGTTTCTAGCTGAAACACATACCGTCTATTCTGACGGTATTCATGGGGAACCCAGAGGCTGTTCTCAGATCGAAAAACACAGCTTTAAACTAAGTTAAAGTACAAAACTCTCGACTGTCATAAGTATCCAGTAGATGTTCATTTCATCACTAAGCTTTTATATAACGTGTTTGGAAAGCAGGTAATATAAACAATTATTAGTGTAGAAAATAGCCAGTGATGACAGACCTGGTACCTGTATATATCCACATGATAATTAAAGTCAGAATATGTTGTAAGTGTAAAACCCGACTCCAAGCCCCCAATCCTGGACACCCAGGGTGTTTATGTAAAACATATATTTGTTTATGATGACCGACAGGTCAATCTTATCTGTGAGAACTCCACCATTTTTTTTATTACTCACCTAGAGCTGTATGTAGCAGAACAAACAGAAATGAGAACACTGTAGTGGCCGCCATTCCTTATCTCACCTGTACCTATCAAGGTGTACACAGTTACGAGGGCCTCTTACACAACAGCTCGTTCTAAGTAAACAGAGTTCTGATCAATTTACTCCTTTGTCTATCTCAAATTTGAGGTTGTGGGGACTTGTATGATAATCTCGCACTGCTTGCTTTTGTGACCTTGACTGTGTATTGTACAACTTAATGTCACAGAGGATACAGAAATAGAGAAATAGGTTGGTGAAATAGTGAATCACAAAAAAAAAAAACAAACAAAAAAACAAAACAAAAAAAAAACAAAAACAAAAATTTAAAAAAAAACCCGATTGATGATAGGGGTTGATGTATATAAAAGTTGTATGGTCGTCATCAAGATTTATATAAATACCTTGTGTGATATTAAACATGATATGTCCATCGTTCATAAGATGCCTTTGCGCTATTTTTAATCCTTATTTCAATTTTCATGACCTGTATTTACATGACGAATGGAAAAGCTGCTTTATTATCTCTGTTTGAAGTCAAACTTCTTTCGGCTTCCTTGTTATATCCAAGATTCTGTTGACACGTCGGTACTTGTTGTTGTTGCTATCTCATAAATTTGAATTCATCATAATTGTTACAATTCTCATACTTTTTATCATAAATTTCTTCAGTGTTAATGTAGATTTGGTCTCAGCTATGCAATGATATCTTCATTTCATTTCAAACATTTTATTGATTTCAGTATCAGATTAGACAACATGCTTGGCCCAGGACACGTGAACAGGATGTAAAACAAGCACATCATACAATCACACTGTATTCATGTAGTACATATAACTAGTCATTTTTGGGTGAGGGGAGACAACTCCATTTTCAAATTAACTTGATTACAATAACGAAACCTCTCAGATGAACTTTCTGTAAAAGAATTAAAAATCATTATTAATGTTCTTTAATGCCATAAAATCACGAATGCATATTTGCTGTACTTGCTCCCAATATACAAATGATTTTGAGCCGGAAATGATTATTATGTAGTAGCTCAGAGAAAATGAAGTGAACATCACCTTTAATACAAATTTAGAGTCAGATAGAGTAAGTAGCACAAAGCAATGAATTAAACTGCATCGTACAGCCCTTTCGTCCTTCTAGGACTCGTTAGTGATGCATGCTGAGTAAAGCCCTAAAGTTTAAAGCCTAGGAGGCGACGGAGGAAAATCCAAAGTGAGCGAAAGAAAAGTCTAAATTAACGTATTCAATATTTTCATATATCTGATAATTTAATAACACCAACAAATACACATGTATATTCTGAACCGTGCCACTATTGAATTAAAACATAGCATGCAGGTTATGGCAAACCTCTGGGACAAAAAAGTCTGCCAGCAGTGTCTAACACTAAGATCAAGCCTAGAATTTAGTCGAACTGATCAATGATTAGTTCTGTCAAAACTTCTTACTACTATCCTAGTACTAGCAATTCTGGTCTAACAGTCTTTTTGTGATACTGTTTACTCGAAAAGTAAAATTAATAGTATGTGGATTTTAAATAACTCGAAGACCTTTTGGGAACAGCAGCTTGTAAATAACATAGTTGTGGATGTAGGATGGTTGCTATCCAGAAATGGAAACTTCACAATGAGCAAAAGGAAACCATCACTCTTATCATACAGCTTGAATGTTCATGTTGGCTTCATTGTAGCGTTTTTCTTGGATGTATACTTCTGAATCAGACATTTAACCAAACGCTTTGATACATCTGAATGTTCCCATTTTGTTTTAAAATCCCCATTTAATTCTGTTATCGGTTTTGTTTTCTGCGTAAGATGTAACTCATTATACACTAAATATATATTTTTATTAATGATTCAAACCGATATTTACTCTGTTCATCATATTTGGTATATTATATCAACCTCTTATTTTAGCATCGGCAATCTGTATTCTGTTTTTAAGGACTTACACAAAGAGTTATTAGCACCTTTTAATGCAAAGTACTAAATTCTGAATAACGAATCAAACGGCACCATACAGCTGTTTCGTCCTTCTAGGACTCGGCAATGATGATAGGGACCTAAAGTTGGAATATATAGGATGTGAATTAGGAATACCATGATTGACCAAAACGACTATTAAAATAAAAAGGAATTGTAAGAAACCCTTATTAAGAAATAAATTTAGTCAGGTTTCAGTAGTGGATGATTATAGAGGTATATTGACTATATACCACAGGAAATGCGGAAACACCTTTTCCTTATTATACTTATATCGACTTAGTTTTGTATAGTCAAAGCACTATAAACATTTAACATGTAAATAATTAACCCAGGAAGCTGACAATTTACACAGAAAATGTTTGTATAACATATACCTTATGTAGTTACAAATGTGAAATACGTTATCATATTTCTTTAAGGATTTATTGAAATTCTCATGATTGCAGATCAATATCTATCTGTATCCGGTTCCTAGATCTTATGATGATAATCACCTGTATCCGGTCGCCAGATCTTACTTTGATAATTACTTGTATCCGATAACCAGATCTCATGATGACAATTACCTATCTACGGTAATTAGATATAACTACATCTGTATCTAGTTACCAGATATAAGTATGATAATTATCTGCATCCTGTTACAATGTCTGATTACGACTGTTTAGATCTCCCTCACTAATAGTGAACCCTGAAATCCATTTTGTCAGAGAAACAAAATATCATTTAAACTGCACTACAAAGTTGTTTCGTCCACCGAGGGTTTATCGGGGATTCTTTACAAAGGTTTTTCAGGAAATACGTTTTTATCAGCCCAACATCATCAGAGGGTTGGCAATTCAAATCGCCCTGAGCCCGTGGTCCGTGGTCCGTCCGTAGGTTCCCCTTGGTTTCTAGTAGTGCCAATCTAATTTTGAGCTGATCAGAAAAACAAAATGGCCGACAGGTGGCCATCATGTTTCTTATCGCTAATTTTCTAGAAGTACTGGGTAAATTTCTCCAAAATATTCCTATGTAGGTTTCCATTGGTCCCTTACGACTGATCCAAAAGATAAGGCAGCCATCTTGGCTTTCGCCGAGTAAAGTTTGTTATCCATTTTTCTGAGCAGTACTGGTGGACCTTTCTTAAATTTCATATGTAGTTTACCCTATGTCCCTAGTTGTGCCCATTTGATTTTGGGTATGTGATCAAAAATACAAAATGACGTCCAGTCGACCATCTTGGATTTGGCAGATAACGAGTATCATCGCCTATTTCTGCAATGGAATGTTCAAATTTCTTATCATTAATAGCAAAAACAGAGAAGAGAAAAGAAGGGAGAAGATCCAACTTTCAAAGACTATATATAAAGATCAAACAATAGTGAACTCTAAGTTCCCTCTGGTATCTCTTGTTTTTATTCCATATCTTGACGTTGTTTTTCAGCTAAAAACACAACACCATAAACTTTAGACAATTTTTACTTCCTCATTACATCTGTGTCGGTCTACAATATAAACATATACAAATTACCCAATAGTAAGAGGTAATCTACGTTAGCATCCTCGGAAAATAGCTTCTGTTAAATTCTCAACTTCAGAGACAATGTCATACGTCATACACATGAACCATAGAACATGCACGTGGCTTTATATATATATATACATATATTCATATCAATATATTTACATTTTTATTGTAAATATCTAACAGAAACAACCAACAGAAATGTTTTTACAATTCATCAACAGTAAGAAATATTATACATCAATGTTTACCACCCTGAAACGTTTTCTAACAAACTTAGTAATCGGAAAGAAAATCACTTCATGACACCATTTCGAAGTTCCTGATAAGTCTGCGATGTCACTCATCAAACCGATAAATCTTTCAAAATGATACCCTGTTCCCCATTGTATGTTCAACCGACTTGAATCAATGAAAAGAATAACCTGAAAAGATTTTGTTTATTTCTTTATTGGATTATGAATATTGGGTTCATATTCTTAACCATTTATTATGGCATGCAAAAAGTTTTATCATAAGAAATTTTATAAAAACTTATCTCATTGTGTTGATTAACATCTTTAATGTTAATCTTTTTATAATGTCTCGTGTTTAAAAATGTATTGAATGTTATAAACCTTTATACATTAACAGTATGTAGACGCTTAAACGATGCAAATGACAAAGGTAAATAACGACAGTGTTTATTATCAGTCACAACAACAATGTAAAAGGTCGCAAACCAATAACGATACGTTAATCTTAAACAGAAAAGCGGTTGATACACTTTCTTAAGCGTTCATTGAAAAAGTTCATTAATCATTGAATAAGGATAGAACAAATAGAACAAAAGACAAATGAAACAAAGGACTGATATGGCCACAGGATATGAAAAATAACATTAAAGCGACAGTTGACATCAATCAAATATTGGATATCAATATGTACAACTGTAAAGCAATATCGAGGTGATGCGTATATCAAGCATGTGACGTAAGTTTGCGCACGAGCGATTATATCAAATATCAATCATCGAATGAAAATTAAATATAACTGAGACAACGTGACAAAAGTCGACAACAAACTTAGTGTTAGAACATGAAATGGTGTATTTAGCAAAGAAATAGCCGTACGTCTTCTGTCTATAATCTATCGTATTAACTGTCAGTAACGAGACCGTATACGTTACAGATAAGGAATATGTTTACCATAACGCCTACAACATGGCCTATGTATTTGTGAAATCAAACTTAACCAAACCAAGGCAAGCTATTTCATTTTTCCCTAATTCAAATTTGATTTCTAAGCATGAGAAAGTTGTTAAAACGCATGTACTTTACCGTTGAATCAGTGCTGAGAGATGAATTTGAAATTGAGAAATAAATCATCAGATTAGACTTATATGTCCAATTGTAATAATCAGATTTATTTCAGAAGAAAAAGTAAATTGACAATAAAATCATAATCAATGATTCATCATAATTAAAAAATGAAAATTAGCTAAAAATACTAAAAATAGGATGAGACGTAAATGATATAACGAATAATCTTTCACGAAGGTGTTGATAGAAACTATGTGTAGGACTAATCACTGAGATATATGTACCAATTTTTTCAATGGGTGATTCAGAAAGATACGATAATTTAACAACCTGTCATTAGAGTCAGAAGAGAAAAGCACAAAAGTATCAGGAAAAATATAACGAAGTTAGAGAGTATCTTCAGGATATAGAAAGAAATTTATAAAATATTTTAGTGTGAATGACATACATATTTCAAAATAAAAACGAAAACCATGGTCTCAGCATAACATGATGATTTCTTGAATAAACGACATTTTCAAACTAGAAATAAGAAGCAGATATGAAATAATCCCGATTGATAACATTTGTATTATCAACGTATCAGAATAATGGTGAACACAGTGAAGTCCCTACTCCCATGTCATATGGTACACCTATAACCAAGACAGATACTTCGACAGTTAGATACAAATTCTTATCTGCATTCTACAGCACTATCAATACGACAGCTTATCAGAGGGCTGAATATGGTATCAAGAATTTTTTATATCTAATGTATATGCTAACCAATAGACAACGAAACAAGAGGTAAATAAGTTACCAAGTATAACAAAACAACAAAATATTAACGATGAAAGGAATTAACTACAGCAATATCAAAGCAATATTCAAAATTTCCATATGAGCAAAATAATGTTTCTTGAATTAAAGAGGAAAATGCGGTTTCCTTTTTACACTCGCATGGAAAATATATATTCAGATTGAAAAACATTTTTTGGATTTCTGAAAACCTTAAAACGTGGCGATAAGATAAGGAAATATAGTATTATGATTTCCTTTTAGATATGAAGCCAGCTGACGTGGTCTCGTGTAACGGATTGTGACTTAACTCACCCTTCGAAAATAATCGAGAAATGTGTTTTTAAAAGATCGCAAAATTTCCTAACGTTTATAGAGATTTAATGCATATTTAATTATCATCATCAGGAAATAACATTCGATACATCATTGAATAATTTTTGTCGTTATTTTTATAAATTAAATTAGTGTTTCAGATAGTTGTGTTTTTCTATTACCGATTTCCTTAAGATACCCTTCTTGGCAGACTGGCACTTTCACAATCGTGCTGAGCATGAGGGAAACGCTGATGTGGCTGGATACTGGAATATTGTAGTGCAGAATTCAGTGCAATTCTGGATGTATCTTTTAATATACAAAAGCGTTTTCGGCAAATGAAATAATACAAAGTCACAGGTACTTAAGTCTGATGAATAGAGTGGGAAAGTCGGCAAAACATCACGATTGTGAAACGAAGGATTGTTGTAAATATCGTGTTAACGTTTAATCCTTTATTTTAAAGTGTTTTCATGAAAAATGTTTTCACATTTTTACGCACTCTGTCTTTATACATTATGGTATTTGAATTACTGGTCCACTAGACTTGACAACATGGGATATTAAAAACATATTTCGCGCTCTTCGGACATTAAGCTATCATTTGTCTTATCAAATGTTTATCAACCATTGTTTATTAAGTGTCACTTGGGTTCAAAGTTTTTACCGTATAAGCAAGTAGAGGACCACCTGTCACAAACGTTTTTAAATTTCAAAATTTTAAGAACTTCGTTAATTGGTAGTGTATGATGCCGTTTACAGTCAACTATGTTGGAAACAGTGTAACAGTCAGACTTCTCAACAAACGCTTGAACAGCAATAATGTTGTCTAATACTGAAGCAACTGACCTGCCTGACCCTGTTTTCCTCTTTCATATCATTTTTTGATTTACTGACCAACCTTAAACAGTTTTCACACAGGCAACAGAAGTGGCATGTTTACTGCACAGTTTTGTGTAAATGAACATCGTGTGTATAAATCAGGAATAACTGTACTGATATAAGCGCGTATTTCATATTAAGTCTCAATCTTCATTTTAACAATCCAAATTATATCTCTGGGCAGGAGAACGCACCATTCATCAATACTTAACTGAAGTGTTCGGGCAGAATTTATCGGAAGACCGTCGTAGTTGCTTCCCTTAGCAACTACAGACATAGATACCATTCACTCTCTCGAGATTATGACAATAGATCATCAGTATTTTGAACAGGTAAATCGTTTTCTTCTCTTTAAATACAAAGTGTAACTGAACACTGAAGATATTTTACACATATGTAGATATATATTATCAGCGTTAACATTAAACTGTTTGTTTTATTGTGATTTGATAGTTATTTTTGATAAATACAAACATAGAAAATGTGATGACTCTGTTTTGAAACAAATGTATGTAAATTTCACTTTCGTGGATATAACAGATACATTAAGAGCTGCCCTCGCCAGCATGCGACACCGTAAACTATGTCCCGTGTTACAATCTCCTTGATTGATCAACGTTGTTCTTACCGATGGAAACCGGATAAAATAGTAATTCATATACTATAAATAATGTTTCTGTAAGTATTTCTTACGATAATGACAACCATTAAAGGTACATTTCCCGAATAGTTGCTCTACAAATAAGTATAACCAACATTAGTTACAGCGGGGAAATGTGTTGCTAGAAAACAGCAAACGTTCTGATGTTTACAAAAAGCTGCCTCTACCACATTTAGTATCAAAATATAGACAAATGCCCTTATCAACACAAAACTGTCAAGCATCCTTATAAACACAAATGATTCTAACATTGTTCGGGGTTACAGCATCTGATTTCCTGCCATTTCTAAATGCCATGTGTGGCACATTTTTATCTCCAGTAACCGTTGATTGGGTTAAGCAGTGTTTTCCAACCTTTAACAGAATTGGTTCAATTAATCCTTGGGGAAAAGGTTTATGTTTTCCTACATTGAAACACAATGTTCAAGAGTCACTGAAACATCGGTGAGAAAATAACTGATTACCTATGTGAGTGGAGAAAAAGACATCTCAAGTCTAAGGGGAGGTATGTTTAAAGTGAAGCACTCAGCAAGGATTCCTCTCCTTAGATAGATATTACGGGGTTGGTACCTTTATCTCACAGAGATGAAGTAACTTGTACAATATGAATCTTTATTGGT